CTCAAAAGTCAAAATATAGGCCCGACTCTGTTGGGCCATTACAAGTATTAAACTACTTAGATATCTCAATCTATGGGCCATTCAAAGAGTTTAGCATGCTGATTTACAATTAATTATTTAGCTTGTTTAGTACGTATTTAAACGACGGAATGCTAAGTCTGGTTAGTTTTGACTTTTGACGTATTTAAATTAATTATTTCGTTAGAAAATATTTTGTTAGAAAATATTTTGTTAATAAAAATATTTTGTTAATAAAAATATTTTGTATAATAAAAAACTTTTAGCTAAAAATGTTAGTTAAAACATTATTTTTGAACAACCCTTAAAATTAAATTTAAATATGTGAAAACATGTTGAGCTTATGACACCACAACGGACCAAAGGACGGGATGCTAAGTCTGGTTAATTTTCACGTATTTAAATTTAACATTTAAGTTTGAAAATATTTTGTTAATAAAAATATTTTGTATAATAAAAAACTTCTAGCTAAAATTTTACTTAAAACATTAATTTTGAAAAATCCTTAAAATTAAATCTAAATACGTGAAAAAATGTTGAACTTATGACACCACAAGACTTACGGACCAAAGGACGGGATGCTAAGTCCGGTTAGTTTTCACGTATTTAAATTTAACATTTAAGTTTGAAAACATTTTGTTAATAAAAATATTTTGTATAGTAAAAAAATTTTAGCTAAAATTTTTACTTAAAACATTATTTTGAAAAACCCTTAAAATTAAATTTAAATACGTGAAAACATGTTGAACTTGTGACACCACAAGACTTACGGACCAAAGGACGGGATGCTAAGTCCGGTTAGTTTTCACGTATTTAAATCTAACATTTAAGTTTGAAAACATTTTGTTAATAAAAATATTTTGTATAATAAAAAGCTTTTAGCTAAAAATTTTACTTAAAAATTATTTTTGAAAAACCCTTAAAATTAAATTTAAATACGTGAAAACATGTTGAACTTGTGACACCACAAGACTTACGGACCAAAGGACGGGATGCTAAGTCCGGTTAGTTTTCACGTATTAAATTTAACATTTAAGTTTGAAAACATTTTGATTATAAAAATATCATGTATAATAATAGCCTTAAAAACCTTTTGAAATCCGAAAAAAAAAAGTGATAAATAAGTTTTGACCTAATCAGTTATTATCTATAAAGTTAATTAATAAGGAAATCAAAATATTTATCAAAAAAAAAAAGGAAATTAAGAAATAAACAAACCTGACTGTCGTGTAACTGGGAGACGTTACTGATGGATCGTTATTTGCGAAAGCCCATTCGTTGTAATCTGAAGCCCATCTCTTCTGCTTTGACTTGGGCCGAAACTGCAATTTTGTTGATGGTGAAGATATCTCCTCAGGCGGTTCCTAGTGTGAAACTGATCGGAACCTCAAATCTCTCGTCGTCACTTGCACTGGGAGTCTTTATGCGTTTTCCCGAATACAAAGATGCATCCGTAATTCTCGTCGTCACCTCGAACTCGTTGCTGAAACTCGAACTAATCCTCCATGATTGGTTAAAGAGATCGTGAAATATTGATCAAACACAAGAGACCTCTCTCCCGACTCTCAAGTGGTGTGGTACGAATGATCTCAGGCCTTAGCGAATTAACACCGGCTTCACGATCTCAAGATTGACGATGTCATGTTCTCTGTATAACATTCACATAACCGATTTCGCAGAGAAGAAAAAGATTTTTTTTTTGTGTGTCTTTAGAATGAGAATTTTGATTTTCCGAAGAAGGAAGAAGATGTGAATATTTATAAGAAACTGTTAACGCAAAAAAAAGGAAATATCAGGTTCTAGGGTTTCCTTTTTTCGTATATGGGCTTAAAAAAAAATGGAAATTGATCACAACTTTGGTAAGACAAAATTACCCTTTTCCGTTACAACGGTCATATTTTTTTTTACAGCGTAACAATTTATAAATGGAAATTATTTGGTCACAGGTTTTGATCTAATTAAGAGTACATGAGATTATATTGTTTTTGTCGAAAAGTGAAAATGATTTTAGTTATGAGTCCTAAACTTCCGTTCAGGACGGAGCCATCCTTATTAACCAACAAGAAATTCTCAGGCTTCAAGTCTCTATGCATAACACCGAGCGAATGACACGCTTCAACAACCCCGACAATGATCTTAGTCAGCTCAGCAGCTTTCCTCTCACTATAATTTCCTCTCTGAATAATCCTATCAAACAATTCACCTCCAGCACAAAGCTCCATAACAATGTGAACATACAAAAGAGTCCTCATAAGCTCCTTTAATCGTCACGATGTTACCGTGACCAGCTAAATGATGCATTATCTGGATCTCTCTTCTAACTTTCTCAACATCTTCTTTAGAAATCAACTTCCTCTTGGATATTGACTTACAAGCGTAGTCAATATCCTCAAACTTCAATCACAGTTTAGTTGTTTCTGACTTTTCACCCTCGTGCATAGGTTCTGGTGGTTAAAGACCAAGGAGAGGATGGTGAAGATTGTCATGATGATGCTGATGGTGATGAAGATGAGTCTGATTTGGATTTGGCCTGGAAAATGCTGGACATTGCAAGGGCTATTACTGACAAACAGTCTACTACTGAGACAATGGAAAATAGATGAAGGCATCCAACAGTCATCCATTGTTTCCAGAAATTTGAATCACAGAATTTGATAACAATACTATATTTAAAACTCTAATCATAGAATATATTTTTTGGTCAAAAATTAATTAGGCCGGTGTTCTTCAAAATGAGTGATGGTTTCTTGTTAGGATGTGCACTCATTCCAGCTTAAAATAAAAATATTAGTGACAAAACAAAACTGAAATTAAGAATCGTGAGAATACGGTCATCATCCACTACATCATCTTTACTCCTTTTTATGTGAAACCATAAAATAATACGTCGAACATTAATTATAGTGACGAATCAGTTCATTAAAGCAAAGTTCAAACAACTTTGTTCTCTTTCCATAGTCTCAATTAATCAGCAATCCATCTAAGATATTTATTGTGTGACGAATTAATCAGTGCATCGAAGCAAAGTTTAAACAACTTTGTTCTCTTTTTTCCTTAATCTCAATCACTCAATCAGCAATCCATTTAAGTTTGACACTTTGCAAATACAGTATAAACATTACTTTCTTTTTTTGTGTGAAAAAAGTTGTGACCCTAGCCATAAGCATTTAACTTTCAATAATTATGTTAAGATCGATTGATTTGAGTTAAACGCAATAGTTTATCATACAGCATATATTAAATTTAAAGAGGCCTAATCGTACATTAGTATATGTATTCAGTTGGTTATAGCTAGCGATATCTCTTGATTGGAGAATAGGAATGGAATTTTGACCGATATTGAATGCCGCCTAGTCTTTAAGGATTCTACCATTATAATGATTTGGTAAATTTAATTGGGTTATGATTGTCGTCTATCTTTAAATAAAATAATGAAGCCACTCATATTAAATAATCAAGTCACTAACCTCTTTAGACTTATTGTGGCCAACAATAGGAAAGTGGTCTCCTTTCAACTTTTTCTCCAATCCCACCATTTTCATGAACAATTTTTTAGTTAAAAGCATTAAGAGATGCATGTTTGCATTAATTAAATGATGGATAAATTACTTTTTGTAATGGTATTTTTATTTAGTATAACTGATACAATCTCATCAAGCTAATCTCTAGTTAAACCGTTTTTATGTTTTTGTTTTTTTTAAAGCATTCATGCTGGCTAAAATATTAGTTACATTTTAATGGTGTTAATTATTTCTTTAGTGATTATATATAGTGATATACCAAACGCACAGGCTTCTCTGTTTTTGATAAAGTGTATCTTAATACACAAGATATAGCTTAAGAGCACATCAAACACTTCCAAAAACTTTGCTTTTCCATAGACAAAAATCGGAAAGAGATCATCAAGATGGGTTTATTGCCATTGGTGAAGAAACTAGGGTTCATCTTTCTTCTTGTTTCAGCTTCATTGTTTGCTCTCTCTTCTGCAGGTTTGTTTCTTTCTGTTCTCTCTCTCTATCTACATATTTATATTCTTTGTTTGCAGCTTTTTTCTGCAACTTCATGTGCCTACTACTTGCGATCAGTCTTTTAGAAAGTAAGATAATAACATTAAGAGCTTGTGCTCTCCACATGTGTGTTTCTAAATACTCAATTAAAGACTAAAGGAGAAAATTAACTTAGCAGTATTTGGAGTGCTTAATCTTCGATATAAAGAAAAGAGAAGCCTAAGACTCTCTCTCTTTGTTTTGTAGGACGATCATCCATTCTAATCTATAGCCAAGAAGATGATCATCCAAAGGTAATCGTTTTAACCCCATACATAGTTGCCAACTACCGTGCGTTGTATATCTATACTTAGCAAAACCGAATAATTTGATATATTCAAGAAGTATTTAGATGATTTCAAGAACCATTTGTACATTGGTGAACACATTCTATTTGTGGACAGGTGGTGGAGAGAATCTTGAGAATGAATTCAGTAGACTATGGCCACTTCAGTCCTAAACCAAAGCTCGTGAGGCCTCCTTTCAAGCTTATTCCCAACTGATCATATCATCGATCGACTATATATAGATGTCAGACTTTATGAGATGTATACTATATGTAAACCTAAATACTAACACTGCAATAAGTTTGAATGATAATCATATATGTAAGTTTGAAGATATGTTGTCTAGTAAATTAATGATTAGATAGTGTTCTTTGCTATCATGCGAATGTAAATTTGGTGAATAGTCATCAATATTGTCGGTTAAACGAAAAAAATTAGATGAATATTCAATTTCTCTGATAGAATTTTTATGATCAAATATTAATATTGAAATATTCCATTAATGCTGAAAACGGATACAGATTGTATATAGTAGATGTGATCAAATATAATTGTCTACAGTTTAATGTCCATCTCTTGCAGATCTCAAATTGCATTTCCCATATTGTGTTTGGTCCCAGTGACCTAACCTCACTTATATTTCTTGCACAAAAGAATGTTTACTTTATACAAATATTTCTAAAACTTTTTCTTCTGACCAACTTTCTTTCCACTAGAGAATTGAGACTGATCATAACACCTACGCTTTATTCCTCTCCATTGCTTACTTCTTCAAGCTACAAAATCATGTACCAATTGTGAAGAATTAATCTGGTTCTGGCGACTTCCGGGGTTTACATACTCCATTTCAGCTCCCGGGATGGCATTCTCGTAAATATCTACCCCGGAAAAGTTGTTGTATGCCTCACTAGACATAGCCACAACATTACCATGTCCTTGAGAGTTTTGAAGCCCTAGAGTCAAGGACACATCACCACGACCCAATCTTGACATATCAGCCACATGATATGTAGGCTCAACTGCCATGAACCGGCGACCATCCATATGACTGCCTTGGACGACCATGCCACGAGTTTCCTCACCATATCCATGTCCATGGTCCGGTTTGGTCTGGTCTTGTGAAAGCTCTTGAGCTCGATCTTCATCATCAGCAGCAGCATGTCCTATCTCAGACATTTTTGGTGTATTTTCGGAAGAAGAGTTGGAATCATTCTCTGTGAATTCCTCCTTGTATATCTCCTCCACCATTGGCTTCCATAAACGCACTCGTGCGTTTATAAACCAGTTTGAAACCTTTTACAAACATAAAACAAACAATAATCCATAAATAAATTACACTATGAAGAGAAAGAAATAATCTTCACATAAAACATTCCTTACCTGACCGCGGCTCAAGCCCGTTTGTCTTGCTAGCATGATCTTATCAGAATCCTTTGGGTAACTATATTCATGTTTTGAAACAGTAATCAGCATTAATTATGAAGAGAATGTGTGGAGATAATATTCAGAAGAGACTTACGGGTGAAGAAAATGCTCAAAGAGCCAAGCACGAAGAATCAAAACAGAGTTTTCAGGTAGACCGCGTTGAGGCCTCCACGCTTGAGGTTGCATAAAACCTCTTTGCTGTCTTAAATGTTGATCAACGTACTTAAGCCGGCTTATTATCCCAACTCTTTTCCCATCTGATCCATCTTGTTGTTCCCCAAGGCATTTCCGTATCACGAGGATTTGTCCGGATATCGCATCCCTTAGGCTACGAAAATGGCGAGAAATTGTTTGAAGGGCGAGTGCTGTGTATGGTTTTGCTGCTCCATAACCTGCTATCACATCGAACGAGGATACAACTATCTGCATCTGCTGGTAATATTGCTTATATCTTCTATCCACCTTTACCAAAATCAAATACAAATATCTCATTTTTTGATATCCAACATATCCTATATACCAAATGATTCAACATTATGGCTTCAATAGTTTTAAAAGCTAATTTATGCTTTTTGCATTTAAAATATTATAACATGTAAACACAATCGGAAACAGACAACAAAGGCCTATAAAAGGTAACTATAACATGATCACATTAAGAAGATAGGTCTCAAGTCATTACCTCGTCCAACATTGACAAGAGTTTTGTCAACTTGCTCTGCATTTCTTGTCTCTCCGACTGAGATATTTCTGCAGGAGGATTCGTACTCGAGTCTTGAGTGTTCTGATTAGGTTCTTGAGGGTTCTCATTGTTTTTATCTCCCTCTGCTTGAAACAGCTTTAGAGCTTTCCTTACATTAACAGCCTCATCTAGAAGCTCTTGAGCCGCCTTGAGATACTTTGAGTTGGGAATTGTTCTCACAAGATCCAAATTCTGATTCCCGCTTGGAAAGCTCTGTGTTGCATATTCATTGCCTCTGAAATGCTCGGCTCTCGGCGCCATATTTTGATGGCTCATTTGATGAATTCCAGGAAGAATCTGTGAACCAAGGCTAAGGGACAGTCCCTGACCAGTCTGAAGAATCCCCGTGGCACCTGCCATCGCGCTCATTAGCTGGAAACCGTTCCTGTCACTCGCTTGATCTCTCCAAGAACCGAAATCTTGATCAATATTCTGCATCTGCGTTATTCCGCCAAATCTTGACAATGCTTGCCTCTCTTGTGAGGCTGAGACATTGTTAGCTTCAGTTCTTTCTCTACCGGCTAATCCCTCAGAGTAAGAAACTGTAGCATTCTGGATCATTGAATTCCCGGGAAGAAACTGTGTTTCCGGATAATTCTCCATCGAAATGGAGTGTTTTTTCTTGGCTCACTTGAGTTCCATAGTCCCTAGTTTCCTGATCAGGTCACAGCATCACCCTGGAAACTTGAGTTTATCATCATTCATCAAAACGGATACTTTAAAAATTTCATACTTAACTAATGGAGACATTAAAGACAGATTCAACAACATTTGAAACAGAGCAGGATCCAGAATCAGTGTATTGCTAAGAAACATGTAAGATTTCATCGTGTCTTGAATTCGTTATGCATGCAATTATGAAGATGTAAGCAAAATTCATAGACGAAAAAAAAAAGTCGAATAGAATTAAAGAAAAATTAATAAATTACCTGGAAATCAACTCCTGATTCTGATGGATTGTTGAAGGAGACAACCAAATCTTGAAAAGAATAACAAAATGTGAAAGATTTTATTGATATTTTAAAAGAAAGAAATCAAATATTACGCCTCTTTCTTTTTTTGGTATGAGATATAATTTGAATTCATCATCTCATCAATGTCACACGTGAAAGATCCATACCATTCTCTCCCTCCTCCAGAAGAAAAAATGATTTTTTTTTTTGTAGTTCTTATTTAATATTTAAAAGGAAAAAAAACATTCAGATAAAAACCTTTTTTTTTTCCCTGAAGATATTGCTTCAGAAAGCCATAATCTGGTTGGTGCTTGAACCTCCTGCTTCTTGCTTACTGATTCTTGGAATCAAGTCTTTGATAAAAAGAGAAGAAAATTATTGCGAAAATGTTATATAAATGTATGGTTAAGGAGTTTCTATCTTTAACAACCAGTTGGTCGACCTAAACCCCTCTCTTCATTTTTTCTCCCAATCCTAAACCTAATCTTAATCCCACTCCTTATCTCTCTCTCTCTCTTGAAATACACATTGATTAAATCAATATCCTCCATATTATCACATTTTGCATTTTCTATTTTCTTTACTTAAGTTGAAAAGTACAAAGAATCAACTACTAGTACTAGCTAGTTCTTAAAATTTAGAGAAAATTTTAGATTTAGTGGACCTTTTCATCAATTGAAAAATTATCTATTTCGATATATTTTTTCCGAACCACCTTATATTTTTAATATACAAACTAATCTTATATGTGACTACTACTTAGCGGATTGTACTAGTCTTATCTTAAATTCAAATTCAGAAGTGTGCATGTGTGAGTTATAGTCTATTTTGCAAGTCGAAAACAAAATTTAGCGGATTAGTAGATGAAAGTGAGTTTTGATTAAGTAAATATCACAAATTATTTTCTGATGAATAGTTCATTAACTTTAGTTTTACTTTATAAGTAAGCCAAGCGATGATTGTTTCTTCTTCCTTTTGTTTATATATTTCTTTCATACTTTTTTGGTATCTGATTATACATTCGTGGACTCTGGTCGTCCAGAGGCTATGCAACTATTAAAGAAATAAGGGTCCCAAAAAATAACAAACACAACTTTTTCTTCTTTTTATTTTCATTTTGTAAACACCATAAGTGCTCGTTTTCCCCACTGAGTTTTGTCTTTTCCTCGAAACAACTTGTAGGTATTTATGGATTAGTACTTTTTCTTTCAAATGCTTCTAAACTTAGCATTCACTTTCTTGTTTGACCAAAGTCTATATCCTAATTCCTATGTCCTAAATTGGTAACTACTATAATCTTTAAAATTAGGGTACAATACTGATTTGAGAGTGAGAGAATAGTTAGTTCCATGGGCTGAGACTTGAGAGAAACAACACAAAAATAATGAGAATAACTTAGATAGTGATAGGAAGCTGAGGGTGGATTTTTGAAGAAATATAAAGTAATAGGTGTAGAATGACAATAGAGGGAAAGCTGTCTGAATTGGGACAGATGTTGCAGCGAGAGGGTCAGAGCCAGAGATGCCGTAATAATACGAACAATGAACATCTCTGAAGCAAGAGAGAGAGAGAGAATCTAATGGGATACGAAGCGAGAGATTTTGTTGGCCCAATAGAGCTGTAATGTCCCCAAGACACATCCTTTGTTCATAACTATAACATTTTCTTTTACAAGACTAATTTAGTTTAAATTAGTTTATTGTCTAGTGACTCTCTTGAATGTGTTTTAAGTTTTAACTTTTAACTATACACATACTGTATATAGTGTATATATCTAGAAGACAGAAATACATTTTGGCAGACACAGAGACCAAAAAGACGAAATACAAATTTGAAGAAGAAATATTAAGGTTTCACACCTGTATGAGAAATTGAGAATATATATTGACAAATGAAATTATACAACTACCATGTAAAAGTAAAGATATATAAAAGGTAAGAACGAGTTTCTAAAATGTGCAAGATCATATTCAGGCTAGAAGATAAATAATTCCTGTCTTTAGCACTCATAATCCAGATATTGAGAATGAATCCAATTCCTGAAAATATGGGCCTCTTACCAAAGCCCATTTAGTCTGAAGTGAGAGTTGTTAACGTAAAAAGGCCTGCTCATATTAAAAATTCACCAAACTCTGTTTATCAAGTAATCAATGTTGCACAAAAGTCTTAACACTTAAACAAACAGTACATAAACTCCTTTCACATAGACACAAAAGGCTCTTTCTTGCTCAGCGCATCAACACTCCTAGTTCAAGATTTCACCTGTTATGGGTGAAACATGTTGGCTTGTAGATTGCTGTCCATTTTTCGAACCGACCACTACCATAGGCTTTGGGGGTATCAAACCGGCCCTGAACAACATGTTTTCGACTGTGTCTGTTGGTTGAGCTCCAACCGACAACCAGTACCTGCATTATTTGAGTACCATGAGTGAAAATCAATTTCTTTCAACAGTTGCACAAAAAAAAAAAAGAAGTTTGGTTAGATACAAGGAACTGTGTGGATTTAGACTTTGAAAAGCAGTGTAATCAAATCAATCATACAAGCAAAACCAAGCCTCAGAGAAAATTTGCAACAGATGAAAGTGTTTTCAATGGCTAGAGAGGTGTCTATTAAAGAAAAACAGAAACACCCTAGTCCTAGTGATGCATTAGGTGTAGAAACAGCCAAACAGGACTGAGAGAAGCAAAGGAATTAAGGATGGGACCCTTATGCAGATAGAGTTTTGAACACAGAATCAACAGAAAGCATCTCAATTTGTCACATAAGAGGATACAACCTAAGCAATTATGCAGCATCATTGTCGCAAGAACAAGCTTATGACCTTGCAGAATACTAAAAAGAATGAATTAAGATGATGAAAAGACAAACAAGAAAACACATTTTATTGTTCATAGTACCTCAAAAAGAAAGGTCTTTTGGGCTTCCATGAGGAATAATCAATCATATGGATAATGTCGAGAAAGAGACTCTTTAGTGTTTCAGTCTTATAAAAAAATCATGAGTTTCACATCTAACAGGTGTCCTAAATACTTCACACAATTATACACGCAAACAGGAATATGAAGATGATAGAACAAGTAAAAAATCATACTTGATTCTGTCGAATTTGAGGCTCACTCTATTCGCATCTTCTTTCCCTGAGGAGGTACACGCAAATTCATGTAATCAGAGACATGAGGAAGTGTTGAATTTATCTGACAAGTGAGAAAGGTAGAGGAGAAATGACGAACCTTGAAGTGGATCATAAAACCCTAAAACCTCGATTTGTTTGCCGTCCCTCCGCGACTTTTCATCGGCGACAACTACACGATAGAAGGGTCGATGTTTACAACCCAAACGCGCGAGCCTTATCTTCACCGTCATTTCTGCTTGGAAATTGAGGTCGGATAAGAAAGAAGATAAGTAAAGGTTTTTAGCTGGTTTTATCTGTGTACTCTATCTTCTGATACATACGATTGTTATTGAGAAGATGGGCCAAGTTGGGCCAGTTCACATTTATCCCTTTATTCACATTTCACATTACGTTTATTCACATTAAGCCCATTAGGTTTGCTATGCGTTTCTTTTTGTGATTTACAGACGTCACTTATCTTTCTTTTTTTCCTTTTTTCTTTTCTTTTATTTGTAAACCACAGAAGTCACTTATCTAATCTCGGATCTTGATACAATGATATCCAGAAATTCCAAAATATTCAATCAGCTTCCTGTCTTTAAGGATCTTCCAAAAGAAAATTGCTTCAGAAAGTTCAATTTGAGAACACCAGCATCTTGTTATCGTATAGGTGTTAGCCTGTTAGTAGAGAGATATACCAAGTCCATAGTACAACAAGGTAGATATAATAATCAGAAAAATAAACTAATCTCTAAGCCTCAACCACTAAGATGTCGAAATTCAGAGTGATGCGTACATCCAACGAGTATGACTTTTCAAGCAACCACCAACATTCATAAAATTTCCAAAGCTTACAAAGATAACCAAATTAACCACCACCAAACACAGATCTTCTTCCTGTTAAATCATTTGCTAACAGTTTAGATGTCGTTTTCAATTCTAAGGTTCACACAAAATCAAACGAGCTCATCATCTATCAAGAGTTATTATCTTCTCCATGTGAATTTCAACACTACAATTTGCTAATCCAAGATTCACAATCACAATCTGATCAACCAAATTAAAGAAGCATCACAAAGAAAGCGATCAGTTAATGAACAATTTCGTGAATCCTAAAACGCGAGTTATTTAATCTCCTTCATCATGTACAATGAGATCTTCAGAAACATCCGAATTACTACTACTAAAGAGGAATTGAAATTGAACTACCAAATTTACACATCAATTAACCCAGAAACTGAAGAATTCTACCGAGAGTTCATGAAGAAACCATCCCATCGCCTTGAAACTTCGAAATTCCAACATAATCAGCACTTGATTTTCATGCTGAGACCATGCTTACCACGAACGATACCAGGTGTCAAGTGCGAAAACGGAGACATCTTCTTCGAGGCATAGACCTTGGCGATTGCTCTTTTCCCCAATTTCCTCATCCTCTGTCTCCCCACCTTCTTACTCACGCTACGTGGAACCAACTCTTCGTCTAGATCATAGGAATCGTCGTATTCACCATCTTCACCACCGCGATCTTCTTCGCCGTCATCGTTCACATAATCTCCGTACGTAATTCCAACAGAATAACCAGAACCTCCACCGAGAAACATCATCTGCCGTTGAGCCCATCCAAGATCATTCTCATCAACTTTATCGCGGACGACATCATCCTCAACACCATCACCATCCAGATCCACGGCGAGATCACAACCGTCAGCAACAGGAATTATCTCAGGCGGCGGAGAAATGACAGTCGGTGAGACAAAGGAAGCGTCGTCAAGAGATATGACGTCATCATCGGAAAGACTATCGACGGAGAAAGAATCGTCGGAGAACTCGCCGTCGGAGGGGTTAACGACTTCCCAGAGATCGAGATCGACTTCGATTTCATCTTCCTGGTTGAGAATGAGAGGAGACATGGTGATAACCCTAGATCGCTTCGCCATTTTTCGAAATTGTTTCTGTAAGTGGTTGCTTCTTTGATTTTTCAAGACTGTTTGTTTTTTGTTAACCAGAGGAGAGGAAGTTACCCTTTTAATAGAGGCAAACTTGGAGAGAACCACCGTGTGTTATCTTGTGCCAATTGGTAGTTACACTGTGGAAGATACGTATTTACAACCAGTTATATGTTGCCACGTAAGGATTGTTTTGCCACATCAGCGTCGCCATAAAGTTTTGCCAGTAAATAAATAAGTGGACATATAAATCGATCTCGTCCATTTATGATAATAAAAACTAAAAAGATACCTTTTCTTCCATTTTTTTAGAATATACCTTTTTCGTTTCAACAAAAAACTATTTAAAATCTTATTTTATTTCTATAATTTGATCATTTGTAATTTTTTTAATTTTTGATTATATTTAACACTTTTTTTTAATAGTTCCTCTCTCCATTTGCATTTTGATTTTATTTTTTGTTAAAAAAAAAAAACGGTGAGTGAGATCAACTTTTTCTAATTTTCGTGGCTTTCAATTTTCATTGGCTCTGACGTTTTTTTTTAAATTAAAAAAGAAACAAACAAAAAAAATGTGAATCCTTGTGAGTTGTTTTTGCTCACTGGCAGAAAAAAAAAAAAAACTCAGAATCCTTTGTTTTCATCGATGAATAAACTAACAAACAAAACTAAAAAAATAGGATATTCGCTGGCCGAATCGCGTCGATCCACATCGCAGGTGAGGGTTCCTGCAATTTCTTTCCCTCGTGGTCTCTGAATCTCAGATCGTCGCAGTAAAACTTTGCTTTCGTTCGTAAACGAATCCACCATTGTTATTATTTCTGTGATTCAAATAACTGGAAACAATGGGGAGCTTGGGCACGATGCTGAGATATCCGGATGATATATATCCGCTCCTGAAGATGAAACGGGCGATTGAGAAAGCTGAGAAGCAGATCCCGCCGGAGCCACACTGGGGTTTTTGCTATTCGATGCTACACAAGGTTTCTCGAAGCTTTTCTCTCGTTATTCAGCAACTCAACACTGAGCTTCGTAACGCCGTACGTTCTTCTCTCTCTCTCTCCGCCTCTGTGTGGTATTTGTGTGGTCAACGTGTTCAATTTGTGGAGGAATCCAAATATCTGACATACATTTATTGTTGACGTCGGCGATTATTGGTTTCTTTTGTAGAATCGATGGCTTTGATTTATCACTTAGTTCTGCAAATTGCTATAAATTGACTCTGCAGTTGATCTGAGTTGCAGTAAATGCAGATTGTATTTAGTGAACTGGGATTCCTATGAGGCTTTCTGTGATTATGTAACACATCTTGCATCGATCACATGCCATCAGTGTAGCTGTGTTCAGTTTTGAAGCATTTCTTATTCATTTTCCTTTTCTTTTTTTAGGTGTGTGTGTTCTACTTGGTTCTTCGAGCTCTTGATACTGTTGGTTAGTGTCTCGCAACTATGCTTTCAAGATTACCTTGTTACGATGAGGCTTCGCCAAAATCTGCAGAACTTCTGTTTTGAAATGTTTTATGTTAGAGCCATCTTTCTTCTTCATGCTTCTGCTGCTAAATATCTTTTTTTTTTTTTTTGTACGACAGAGGATGATACAAGCATACCAACTGATGAGAAGGTTCCCATCCTGATAGCTTTCCACCGGCACATATACAACACTGACTGGCATTATTCATGCAAGTCTGAAGAGTCTCTTTACATCTTCATCTTTCACATGCCATTAATATTTGACTGTCTAACTTACAAATTTCACTTATTCAAAATTTAGGTGGTACGAAGGAGTACAAGGTTCTAATGGACCAATTTCACCATGTTTCTGCAGCCTTTTTGGAACTTGAAAAAGGGTTAGTTCTAATATTTGCTATATGCACTTCTGTTCTATTATTTAGTTTTTTTTCTGCTCATGTTATTGCACGTTTATTGATTGAGGTACTCAATTTTTTGAAACTCCAATCTGCTTTCTGACAATACTAATTATGTTATCTTTATAATTTATGCCTTTGTATATGAAGGTATCAAGAGGCTATCGAGGAAATTACTAGAAGAATGGGTGCAGGGATGGCCAAGTTTATCTGCCAGGAGGTTTGTGATACATAGCATTTTTCGTAGCTAGATTTGTTTTTGAGTTATGGTGACAAATGTCTTGAGCTAGACTGGGGTCTCTGTTTCAGTTAGAATTCTGTCATGCTTACTCTTGTCATAAATCATAACATCAGATCTATATTTGAATGACTCATGTGATTCTTGTTCTATGATGACAAGTAGTAATTGTATTGAAAGTACCAAAACTTATTGATATGTTTCGTGAAGAAATGAAATCATTTGTATACCGATCCAGTTGATCCAGTTTTCACTGTTATACACAGGTAGAAACTGTTGATGACTACGACGAATACTGCCACTATGTTGCTGGGCTTGTGGGTTTAGGTCTGTCAAAACTCTTCCTCGCTGCGGGAACAGAGGTTTTGACTCCAGATTGGGAGGCGATTTCCAATTCAATGGGTTTATTTCTACAGGTACAACAATGTATTTTGAGGTGTACAATGTTTCTTCCTCAAATCTTTGCAATTTTGGACTATTTCTATCATCGAATAATTAATAACACTGGTCTTATTTGCAGAAAACAAACATTATCAGAGATTATCTTGAGGACATTAATGAGATACCAAAATCCCGCATGTTTTGGCCTCGCGAGATTTGGGGCAAATATGCTGACAAGCTTGAGGTGCTTACATACCACTTTCAAGCACTCATCTTAGGTCTGATGTTACCCATATTGACTAATTTCTGACAGTGCCTTTTTTTGTGATTTATAAATTGTAATGTAGGATTTAAAATACGAGGAGAACTCAACCAAATCCGTACAGTGCTTGAATGAAATGGTTACCAATGCGTTGATGCATATTGAAGATTGCCTGAAATACATGGCTGCGTTGCGTGATCCTTCCATATTTCGGTTCTGTGCCATCCCTCAGGTTAGAGGAAGAGATATCACATAATTGTTAGTCTTTAAAGTTCACGTTGAGAACTGTTTATATTGTTTTCCTCGTCATATGGAATTAGATATTCTCCTCTTTAACTAGGTCTGCATTGATATAGAATGCCTTAGGGCTTAGAAGTTGATATTGCTTTGCTTGGATGTGTTTTTTTTTATCAGATCATGGCGATTGGAACACTTGCATTATGCTATAACAATGTACAAGTATTCAGAGGCGTTGTGAAACTGAGGCGAGGTAAGATGTTAAGCCTTAGAAATTATGTAGGCCAATCCCTGATTTCTATTTCTGAGAAAGAAAACCCGTAATCTTTTATTATCAATGAGCTTGAGAACGTGTAGCTAGCCTTATTATCTGAAACCTAATATTTCTGAACAACTATCTATTGTTTAGGTCTAACTGCTAAAGTCATTGATCGCACAAAGACAATGGCTGATGTCTATGGTGCGTTCTATGATTTCTCTTGCATGCTGAAGACAAAGGTAGTCATTAGTTCCATGTTTGTGATTTGTTTTTTTCACTCTGTTTCTATTCTTAGAAAAGAATCATATGCGAATTTTCTATCGACATATATGAACATAGGTTGACAAGAACGATCCAAATGCTAGTAAGACACTAAACAGACTCGAAGCAGTTCAGAAACTCTGCAGAGACACTGGAGTCCTCCATAACAGGTACAGTCTTTCTTTTGAGCTGCATTAGATTAATCCTCTCACTAAGAAACTGGTCTCAATTATTCCAGAATAGGATAATATCATCATAATCTTTCCTTCTGGTTGGGTTTCTGATAAATCGTCGTCTCTCTTTCTTTCAGAAAATCATATGTTAATGACAAAGGACAACCAAACAATGTCTTTGTAAGTTACATTTTATCCCTTTTCCATACAGGTATCTGATTTGTTTTGAAATATATATAACTTATGCTCTTGTCTACCCGAAAACGCAGATCATAATGGTTGTGATTCTACTGGCGATAGTCTTTGCATATCTCAGAGCAAACTGAGTCTGATTGTATCACCATCATTCAAGATGTTGAGAGCAAATTTGAGTGATGAAGTAATCTAGGTTCATTCTTATTCATGCAACCGAATCCTAAGCAAGATTGTTACCAGAACAAACAGAGTTTAAACATGGTTTGGTCTAAAACCATGGATTCTATTTTAGTTACTATCTTCTTTGTCTAATCGTGCATTTGTTCCTCTATTTTTATCCCTTGTGTTTAAAGTTCCTTCTTTTTTAGTTGCTTTTCTTCTTTTGTTCTTTTTGGCATGTTATAAAATCTTTAATCCTCTCATTCCGGAATTTCGATTGGATCCCAAGATTAATTTTACTAACAACAAGATAAATCCAAATGCAATTAGAAAAAAGAAAAAGAAAAACAACAATAGCGTGTATATAAAAAATAACAATAACAATGTTAAATCAGGCTTGGATTTATAGTTTGTTAACGTATAGCGTGTAGCACGCGGCAACCAATTTAAATGCCAAAAGAGAGCATCGTTGGACCAATAACAATGTTATTCTAACATTTGTCACCGTTGCAAGGTTAAGATCGAAGACCAAGGGCGATTCGGTGGAAGTGCAAGGTATGCAAATGCCAGCGTGGTCTTTTGATTTATTAGTAGGGCCATATTTGTTATATTATAGGTTATATAGCTCATGGCCTACCATTTTGTTCCTCAACGAATCCTTCATTGTTGACTTTGTCATTGTTTGTTGGAAAATTTGACTCTATAACCAACAAAAATTTATAAATTAAGAAAGTAGCACTAGAAAAAAAAAAGGTGATATTCTTTATAATTTATGTAATAAAGACACATTTAGTCCCTCTCAATCTCTCTCTCCCTCTATTTTTCTCTCCTTCCCTCTCTTCTCTCTGTCTCTCCCTCTCTCTCTTAGTCCCTCTCAATGTCTCTCTCTCTTCTTCTCTCCTTCCTTCTCTCTCTCCACGTCCCTCTCTTCTCTCTCTCTCCCCCTCTCTTCTTCCCTCCCTCTCTCTCTTGACGCTCCTCTTTTCTCTCTCTTCACGCACCCTTCATTTTCTTCGTGAGACTGAAAGGACTTTATTGTCTTTTCATACACCACATGTGCTCCTCACTTAATTTCCAAGATTATGGTGCTATAAATTTAATAGCTTTTTCAAAATTGGCTACTTTTGCAAATCACCCTTGTTTGTTTCAAACGAGTTTTTGTTTCCTCTGTTTCTAAAAATGGGAAGCTTGAGTACGATTTTGAGACACCCGGATGAGTTATATCTGCTTTTGAAGTTGAAACTTGCGATTACGAAAGCTCACAAGCAGATCCCACTTGAGCCACACTTAGCTTTCTGTTATTCAATGCTTCACAAAGTTTCTAAAAGCTTTTCTCTTGTTATTCAACAACTTGGCACCGAGCTTCGTAACGCCGTATGTATTTTTCTGCCTCTTTGTCTGAGTAATATATCATAAACATGGACTTAGTAAGAGTTTGTGATATATAGTCTTTGTGTTGTAGATCGACTTAGATTTTAACTTTATTCGAGAAGTAAATTTGTTTTTCCTATATATAGCTATGTTACATTTTTAGTTACAGCAATATTTCCAACAATTTCTTTGTTTCATTAGGTGTGTGTGTTCTACTTGATTCTCCGAGCTCTTGATACTGTTGGTTAGTGCTTCATAACTATGGTTTCCAAACATTACCTTTGTTTTGATGAGTCTTTTTCTCCAAATCTTTCTTTTAATAAAAAAGTATGTATCCATGTTTTGATTAATATAGATCCATTTTTCTTCCTTCAATGGCAGAATATTCTTGATGATAAAAAATTAGTATTGCTTTGTTACTACAGAGGATGATACAAGCATACCAGTGGAGATCAAAGTTCCAATTCTGATGGCTTTCCACCGTCACATATACGATGGTGACTGGCATTTTTCATGTAAGTCATAAGAAGAGGGTTAATTAATTTGCTATATGCAATTCTGCTCTGTTTCTATAATTGTTCTTGCTTATTTATTGATCTACTGAATTTGGTGATACTAAATTATGTTGTTTTCCTAACTTAAACAAAAAGGTATCAAGAGGCTATTGAAGATATAACTAAAAGAATGGGTGCAGGAATGGCCGAGTTCATTTGCAAGGAGGTTTGTGATACACAGAATCTTTGTGATGTGGATTTTATTTGTTTGGAAATAGAAGTTAAGCATCAAAACTTCTGAAGAGCTGATCTTATTTGTGTATTCGACAGGTAGAAACAATTGATGACTATGATGAATACTGCCACTATGCTGCAGGACTTGTGGGTTTAGGTTTGTCAAAAATCTTCATCGCTTCGGAATTAGAAATACTGACTCCAGATTGGAAGCAGATTTCAAATTCTACAGGTTTATTTCTGCAGGTATTCATTACAATGGTATAATATTGACATGTACAAGGAACTTCCTCAAATCTATTTGCAATTTTTGAAGTTTTTTTGTATGTTATCTTATTTGCTAGAAAACAAACATTATCAAAGATTATCTTGATGACATTAATGAGATACCAAAACCGCGCATGTTTTGGCCTCGTGAGATTTGGGGGAAACATGTTGACAAACTCGAGGTGCATACACTTCACCCTCAAGCTCTCATATGAATATTAAAGAACACAATGTGACTCTTTCTTCGTGTGAATTCTTAGGACTTCAAAAATGAGGAGAAATCAACAGAAGCAGTGCAGTGTTTGAATGAAATGGTCACTAATGCATTGATTCATGTTGAAGATTGTTTGAAATACTTGGCTTCATTGCGTGATCCTACAATATTTCAGTTTTGTGCCATCCCTCAGGTTAGTGAAAATAAAATCTATCACATATATTCTTTACTTTTTCCTATCTAATTTAATATATTACTCTGCTTCAAATATCAACCTGAGAAATGTTTATGTTGATATAATTATTTTCCTTTTCGAGTAGATCGTGGCGATTGGAACACTTTCATTATGCTATAACAATGTACAAGTGTTTAGAAGTGTCGTGAGTCTGAGACGAGGTAGAAGGGTTTTTATCTTGATTGTGATTTGCAATCTATAACAGAATTTCATCATCGAAATTCTAAGGCTTATATAGAATAGAACTAAAGGCTAATCATCAACATGTGAGTTTTGTTACAAACATTTACATGTGAAAGATGATTTATTGACAAAAGATTTATATTGTTTAGGTCTAATAGCTAAAGTCTTTGATCGCACGAAGACAATGGACGATGTCTACGGTGCGTTCTATGATTTTTCTTGCATGCTACAAACAAAGGTAGTCATTAGTTCCATGTTTATGATTTGTTTTTTCATTCTGTTTCTGTTCTCAGAAAAGAATCATACGTGAGCTTTCTGTCTACATATATGTACATAGGTTGACAAGAACGATCCAAATGCCAGTAAGACACTAAACCGACTTGAAGCCGTTCAGAAACTCTGCAGAGACACTGGAGTCCTTCATAACAAGTAGAGTCTTTTCTTCCAAGTATTCCAGGAATAGGATAAGATTATCATAATCTTACTTTTTGGTTGGGTTTCTGCTGAATATTTGTCTCTCTTCCTTTCAGAAAATCATATGTTAATGACAAAGGACAACCAAACAATGTCTTTGTAAGTTACACATTTTCCCTTTTCCATACAAGTACAAATCTCATTTCTAAAAAACTTACATAACTTATGCTTTTCTCTACCCGAAAAATGCAGATTATAATGGTTGTGATTCTACTGGCCATAGTCTTTGCATATCTCAGAGCAAACTGAGTAATCCATGTAAGCGAGTCATCATTCAAGATGTTCAGAGCAAATCTGAAATTCTGAATGATGAAGTAATCCTATTCACGCCGCTGAATCCTAGCTAAGCAAGATTGTTTCCAGAACAAACAGAGTTTAAACATGGTTTGGTCTAAAACCATGGATTCTGTTTTAGTTACTACTACCTTCTTTGTCTAGACGAGCTTTTGTTCCTCTAATTTTATCCCCTGTGTTTAGTTTAAAGTTCTTTCTGTTTTAGTTGATTTTCTTCTTTTGTTATTTTTTTGGCATGTTATAAGATCTTTTAATCAGGCCTCATTCCGGAATTTCAATTGGATCCCAAAATTAATTTTACTAGCAACCAGATAAATCCAAATGCAACAAGAGAAAAAAAGATAGAAAAGTAACAATCGAAGACTATGTGGAACACTCTTCTTTCTTTTTAGGTCGGCAACATTCTTAAATTTATTTATTTTAACGTTAAGTGTGTAGCATGCGGCAAGCAATTTAAAATGCCAAAAGAGAACATCGTTGGACCCATGTATTATCACCGTGGCAAGCTTAAGTCTTAAGAGCAAGGCCAAGGGCGATTCTGTGGAAATGCCGTGGGGTCTTTTGATTTATTATTAATAGGGCCATATTTGTTGTATTATAGCACATGGCCTACCATTTTGTTCCCCAACTAATCCTCCATTGCTGGCTTGTCATTGTTTCAAACGATTTTTTTTTCTCTGTTTCTAAAAATGGGAAGCTTGAGTACGATTTTGAGACACCCGGATGAGTTATATCCACTTTTGAAGTTGAAACTTGCGATTACGAAAGCTCAGAAGCAGATCCCGCTTGAGCCAAACTTAGCTTTCTGTTATTCAATGCTTCACAAAGTTTCTAAAAGCTTTTCTCTTGTTATTCAACAACTTGGCACCGAGCTTCGTAACGCAGTATATATTTTCCTGCCTCTTTGTCTTAACAATATATAAACATGAACTTAATAAGAGTTTGTGATATATAGGCTTTTGTATTGTAGATTGACTTAGATTTTAGCTTTGTTGGACAAGTAAATTTTGTTTTTCTTATATTAAGTATGTTACATTTTTAGTTACATCAATATTTTCAACATCTTCTTTGTTTTATTAGGTGTGTGTGTTCTACTTGATTCTCCGAGCTCTTGATACTGTTGGTTAGTGCTTCATATCTATGGTTTCCAAACATTACCTTTGATTTGATGAGTCTTTTTCTCCAAATCTTTCTTTTTTGAAAAAATATGTATCCATGTTTTGATTAATATAGGATCCATCTTTCTTTCTTCAATGGCAGAAAATTTTTATGATAAAAAAATTAGTTTTATTTTGTTACTACAGAGGATGACACAAGCATACCAATGGAGATCAAAGTTCCAATTCTGATAGCTTTCCACCGTCACATATACGATGGTGAATGGCATTTTTCATGTAAGTAATAAGAAGAGACCTTTCACATCTTAATCTTTCAGATGATGTTTTTTCCTTTTTCTTTTAACTTAATTACTCTTCATTCAATTTAAGGTGGTACAAAAGAGTACAAAGTTCTAATGGACCAATTTCACCATGTTTCTGCAGCTTTTCTGGAACTTGAAAAAGGGTTAATTTGCTATTCTGTTCTCTTTTTATAAATTTTCTTGCTCATTTATTGATTGATCTACTGAATTTGGTGATACTGATTTTTGTTTTGTTTTCCTAACTTGAACAAAAAGGTATCAAGAGGCTATTGAAGATATAACTAAAAGAATGGGTGCAGGAATGGCCAAGTTCATTTGCAAGGAGGTTTGTGATACAAAGAATCTTTGTGATGTGGATTTTATTTGTTTCAGTTTTGAAGTTTGAATATAGAAGTTAAGCATCAAAACTTATGAAGAGCTGAAATTATTTGTGTATTCGACAGGTAGAAACAATTGATGACTATGATGAATACTGCCATTATGCTGCAGGACTTGTGGGTTTAGGTTTGTCAAAAATCTTCATCGCTTCGGAGTTAGAAATACTGACTCCAGACTGGAAGCAGATTTCAAATTCTACAGGTTTATTTCTGCAGGTATTCATTACAATGGTATAATATTGACATGTACAAGATTTCTTCCTCAAAATTCTGCAATCGTTATGTTTTTTTTTTTTATGTTATCTTATTTGCAAGAAAACAAACATTATCAAAGATTATCTTGAAGACATTAATGAGATACCAAAATCGCGCATGTTTTGGCCTCGTGAGATTTGGGGGAAATATGTTGACAAGCTCGAGGTGCATACACTTCACTCTCAAGCTCTCATATTAAAAAACACAATGTGACTCTTTTCTTTTTGTGAATTCATACAATGTAGGACTTAAAAAATGAGGAGAAATCAACACAAGCAGTGCAGTGTCTAAATGAAATGGTCACTAATGCGTTGACTCATGTTGAAGATTGTTTGAAATCATTGGCTTCATTGCGTGATCCTGCAATATTTCAGTCTTGTGCCATCCCTCAGGTTAGAGAAAATACAATGTATCACAAACTATTTAGCCTCTGCTATCTAATTTAATATTTTTCTCTGCTTCAAATATTTACCTGAGAAGTGTTTATGTTGATATGATATATTGACTAGATCGTGGCGATTGGAACACTTACATTATGCTATAACAATGTACAAGTATTTAGAGGCGTCGTGAGACTGAGACGAGGTAGAAGGTTTATCTTGAGTTTGATTTGCAATCTTTAACAGAATTTCATCATCTAAATTTATCTTGAGTTATGTTACAAACATTTCTATGTGAAAGCTGTCTTATTGACAAAAGATTTATATTGTTTAGGTCTAATAGCTAAAATCATTGATCGCACAAAGACTATGGATGATGTCTATGGTGCGTTCTATGATTTCTCTTGCATGCTACAAACAAAGGTATGTATACGTTTGAACATTTCCAGTGTTTAGTGTTGGTAATTAGAAGGTGAGATATGTGTTATTTAATAATAGGTTGACAAGAAGGATCCAAATGCCATGAAAACATTAAACCGACTCGAAACCATCAAGAAAGTTTGCAAAGAAAATGGAATCCTTCACAAAAGGTAGACTCTGTTTTTTCTTGGTTTCTTCTACTTGTTCTATCAAATAAAATGATCCTTGTCTGTTTGAGGTTCTAATGAATCTTTGTCTGTTTTTTCTTCTTAATGCCGGTCAGAGAATCTTATCTTAACGATGAAACACAATCCAAGGCTTTCTTTGTAAGTTAATTTTGTATCAGACTTCCATAGAAAGTGTTTCATATTTAGAATTAAGTTCTCATCATCCTCCTCTACTCTATTACTGAAATTGCAGGTTGTAATGTTTGTGCTTCTACTGGCCATAGTCGTTGTATATCTCAAAGCAAACCAATGTAAGTGACTCTGATTGTGTGACTTCTAAATCTTGAAGTCATCATGGACATAATTTCTAGCTTTTTTGAAATGTTTGATCAAATCTTGAATTGAGTGTCTATTCAAGATTGTTTCCTTCTTAAACTTCTGCTATTTTTCTCCCTTGTCTGTCTTTGACTTCAAGATTGTCTACGATTTCAATCGTCAAATTTTCTGTTTTTTTTTTCTCTCTTCTTTTCAGTTGTTCTATTTTATCATTTTTATGAAGTTATAAATTCAACTTTTATCATCATAATGCTCATAATGTTGGTAAACTTGAAAAATAATCACTTCTTCATCAAGTTTAAAAGTTATCAAATGAACTTATGAAAGTAAATTGGACAAAAAAAAAACCCAAAAAGAAGTGAATTCACATATGAAGATAAACAGAGATTTGGCGTTTACATCAAATGCCAAAGAGAAGATCCAAATCCAATATTGAGATAATACCTAAAAACTGAACTCTTGTTCAAGTGGCATCACTACTAGATTCAGAACATCATAGAACCCCGCATCAACTCTGATCCTCATGAACGTTAATTCAATCAGATAATGTATATGGACTTCTGCTTTAGCTGGTGAATCTTCTCTTTCTTTTTCTTTCTACAGAACACACACAACTCTTCTACAGAAGCAACTCAATTCCATAACCAACAAAGAACCACGATGTTACCTTCGAATTCTCAGAAAACTTCGGACACTTTGCTAGCAAGAACTCGTTCCCGTCTTTCAATGTAATCATAGGGGAACCAACCGGCTTTGCCTTTGCATTCACCTTCGGCCCATCCACTGCCTGTAACCTGACAATGACAAATAGACAAATGGTATATGAAACAAACACTATTGAATAACTGTATCGGTTAATATGGATTAAAGGAGACTTTGTTGGTTTTCTCATGTGGGAGTTGGTTTACTATCGAACCTTTCTAACAACAACGTATTCACCAGTTGATAAGCTGAGCTCGACATCTGTCACACCGTGATATGGGAACAAGACCTGAAACGTTTTTAAAAAGGGAATAATATGTTATAATGGCACATCAAACGAGTAACAGAAGGAATCTACACGTAGCCTGTCTTTTCGGTTCTCTAATCAAAAACAGGTTATATACATCCAATTCCTACGTGGAGAACTTAGAATCCTATTATCTCTTTGATACTTTTACTACTACTATAAACAAAAGTTTTAACTCGCAAAGGAAGGTACTAAACAGCATTAAAGACTGAAAAGCATACCTCTCCTAAGAAGTAACCCATGCTATCTGTTGCCGTGTCATGCATATGAGATGCAAACACTCCATTAGCTTCCTCATATGATGGAGGTGGCGGCATACTGTCTGCGCTTGAGGGAGTAGAGGGAGCTTCTATACGTTGCCTCTCAGACACCATCTGTAGGTTCAAAAATGTTTCATTTTGCCCTTAATTGACTCGTATAATGATAAACTGACTGTTCGACAAGAATACTAGTACTATGACAGGAAACTGAAAGCTGTAAAACTAATGCACACCAACCTCTCCTTCAAGCTGATCAAGTATTTGGAGGACTCTTTGATGGTAAGCACGCTCAGATTCAACCTGAGATCAGGAATGAACAATACAGTTATTACAAAAGAAGTACATATGGGTAAGTAAATCAAAGTTGACCTAAAATGGATCTTGTAACCAATCGCACTACCATTGAGAGAAGTCGTTCAAGAGTCAATTTTTGTTGTTGATCTTCAACGGAAGCTAAAGCTGAAGCAGCTTCTTTCCCCAATATTGTCATATTTGATTTTAGGTCTTGAAGTTTTGCTTCAGCAGATTCCAGTTTCATCAAGATGTCAGGATTACCTTGAGACTCTCTCGCCTTTGCTTGGCGTCTGGCAACTTCTGTAGCCTGTTTAGATTTGAAGCAGGCAGATGAGTAAAATTCTATCATGGTAGTAATAACAAATGGCTAGTTCTTGAAAGAGGAAACACCCATATTTCTCATAATGATAATAAAAATTGCTTCATGGTACCTGAGCTTCGGCTTCTTGGCGCATTCTGTCATAGCGTTGAGCAAGATGTCTAGCATCCTCTAATGGAGCTCCCAAAACCATTGCCCGTAATGGCTCAGCAACCTAACAGATTCAGGTTTAAATTCCAGAATGACATATGAATGTAGTAGCCAAATCGCGTTAAAGAAAGAATCAAGTGAACACAATGACATTAATTGACTTTAAGGAGTATGTAAGTAGCAATATATCCCAGATACAAGTAATAGATCTTCCCACAAGTGGCAGTAAACGATGGCAGGAAAGTAATTCTTTGTGTAGTCATATCGCATGTAAAAGAAATGTGCTAATGCTTAACACTTTGATGGAAGATGAGAAAGACAAACCTGTGTACCAAGAGCCTTCAACATATTTCCACGCTCCTTCTCCATTTGTGCTCGAGCTCGCCCATAGTTCAGTGCAGCCCGTGTTAATACGTTACCATTCGTACATGTATTCTCTGAACCATACTTCCTGCTATCCTCAGACAATTTCGTCCCTAAGGAACAATGAGTGCACAATGAAAGGCAGGCCTGTGAGACAAGTCAATTCTAACAGAAAGAAAAGAGATACTCTAAGCCAACACTCGGATAAAAAAAATCACCTATTTCAACTTGTTTTGACCCCGTGACTATATAACCTTCCACACCACGAACAATATCTCTTTGGTAATGCTGAAAACGAAGAATGAATGAGTCCAAATCAAAAGTGATCAAAACTTTAAACTAGTCAAAAAAAGCTCAAGAAATAACCTTGGCAGCACGAGTGGATATGTAAAGCTTTTCCAGCTTCTGATGCTGATTGAGTTCTGCTTCATCAGCTAAACCAGAGCCATATCCTCCCCCTCCAAATTGCTTGAACACAGCCTTAAACATTCCACAAAAACTAAGTCAGTGTACTAATTAACCTCAAACTCGAGAACACAAACACCCGATCTCATGGTAACTTAGAACATGTAGCACCAAGATGTTAATCTATAACTACAAAATCTTTCAACTCCAAGCTCAAAAAAGTGAAACGTATTCACTGAATCAATTTTGATCTTGGCATATAAAAGTATCTGAGCCAAACAATCGTACATGACCCTTTGACATAAAAGACATCACATTTGACTGAAACTTCCCTAATCTCACATCGAATCAAAGTATTAATAACACTCAGATCCAATTACTCATTAAGTCAAAAACCATCGATCCGAAAAAAAGGTAGTCCCTTTATCATCATCACATTATTGATTGATTCACCAGAAACCAACGAATCAACAGAATCACAAGAGAAGACAAAAAACAAAATCTAGAAAAGATTAAGATACAGGATCTAAACAAATGGGTCTAAAGAAAGTTAGAAAATTTAACCTGCTGCTGTCTCGCAACTTGTTCTCTCAACCTGCTAGCTTGTTTTCTAATTGCATCCATTGTTCACCAGATCAAGAGCTCTTCTCAAATCTTCTTCCTTCTTTCTTCCTCCTTGTTACCTTTCTTCCACTTGACAAGTTCCCTCCGATTACTTGGAACAATTCAGAGAAGAAAGAGATTCGAAATCGTCAAAAATGGCGTTGAGTTACCAAATATTCAATTTCTCTGCTTTCGGACACGAAGAAATCAAAGATAGAGAGACTCTCCGTTTCAGAAAGAAGTTTTCAAAAGGTTGTGTATTGGGCTCTCTATAGGCCCATTGGGCTTAAAAATCAAATCCAGTAAGCTATAAAATTATTTCATCTCAAAAACTAAGAAGACGCAAAACCCTAGACATATATAAATGAAAAGCCAGTGAATTAGGGCTCTCTCTCTCAGTTGTTGAAGCCGCTTCTTCTTCGTCCTCACTGTAGCTCGTCGTCGCTACACCATCTGAAGATCCCAAACCATGGCTGTCGGGTAAACCCCTCTTCGCATCTCTCTATTCCTCGCTTATTTCTCCAGATTCTGTATCGGAATCTCTCATTTGATGATGGATTCGAGTATATCATGTTCTGATCTATGGTTTTGATTGATCTTATAGGAAGAACAAGAGGATTTCAAAGGGTAGGAAAGGAGGAAAGAAGAAGGCGTGAGTAACTTTATTCACTCAATAAAATTCTCAGATTTCTAATTGTAATCAGTATTGTTAATTGTATTGTTATGGATGGTGCAGTGTTGATCCTTTCTCCAAGAAGGATTGGTATGACGTGAAGGCTCCTGCTTCTTTCACCCACAGGAATGTTGGCAAGACTCTTGTTTCCAGGACTCAGGGTACCAAGGTAAATTGTCTATTACTATATACTCGGGAGTTATTTAGGGTTCTCTCTAAAGGTTAGAGCTTTCTAGGTTTTGAGTCAATAGTCAAGTCATCTTATAGCATGGGCATTTGCTGAATGTTAGAGATGGGCATTTGCTTTTGGTGTCTTTCATTGTTAGAGTAATGGGAATTGCATTGTGATAGTAAAGAGTTTTCCTTTGTCAAAAATCTGACTTTGTAATCTGGACATTTGCTTAATATAAACAGATTGCCTCTGAGGGATTGAAACACAGGGTTTTTGAGGTTTCTCTTGCTGATTTACAAAAAGATGAGGATAATGCCTACAGGAAGATCCGTCTTAGAGCTGAAGATGTTCAGGGAAGGAATGTGTTGACCCAGTTCTGGGTAAGATAAATTCCACACTTGTGCAGAATTCTTGTACCAGACTCTAAAATTTACTGGCATATTGATACAAAGTTTAATCTATGATCTGTAGGGTATGGATTTCACAACTGACAAGCTAAGGTCATTGGTGAAGAAGTGGCAGACTTTGATTGAAGCCCATGTCGATGTGAAAACCACAGACGGCTACACCTTGAGGCTTTTCTGCATCGCCTTCACAAAGAGACGTGCTAACCAAGTGAAGCGTACTTGTTACGCTCAATCCAGCCAAATCCGACAGGTAATAACATTATCATACCATGTGTTTATTATTGGCTTTCTGTGGACAGAAGAATAACATCTTCCTTGTAATGTTTCTTGATTCTTGTAGATCCGCAGAAAGATGAGTGAGATTATGGTGAAGGAGGCTTCATCTTGTGACCTCAAGGAGCTTGTGGCCAAGTTCATCCCAGAGGCCATTGGAAGAGAGATTGAGAAGGCAACACAGGGCATCTACCCGTTGCAGAATGTGTTCATCCGTAAAGTGAAGATCCTAAAGGCTCCCAAGTTTGACCTTGGAAAGCTCATGGAGGTAAATTGAAATCACATTAATGTTGCACTGTTTCATCAGTCTTGGTCTAGCCATGGAGACTCTCGGATCTAACTCTGTCTGTTTGTCTTGTTTTTCTCTAGGTGCATGGAGATTACACAGCCGAGGATGTTGGTGTGAAGGTAGACAGGCCAGCTGATGAGACAATGGCTGAGGAACCAACAGAAATCATCGGAGCTTAGAGGATTTGTTTGTTTTTCGCTGGCAAAAAAAAAAGAACCTAATGTTATGTCGCCATTTGTGTGACTGGTTTTGGATTCGTTTTTGATGGATATCTATAACTCTTATTGTTTATCATGTTTTACCTTTTTTCTATATTAAGCTTCTTAGTTCTACTTTTCATCACTTGATTTGCCCTCTTTTTGATTAAAATGATCTAAATCAGTAATGAAAGTTTAAATTCTCAAACTGTTGTATAGGCATGAACAAGAATTTATTGAATCAAATTATGTATCAATTAATTTCATTCGTTACACTCACATTATGATAAGTATCTAACTCTGCTATTACACTACCCCGAATTACCTAGTTGTATGATTTTCAATTATTCGACGGAGTCACATTATCATCATCTCTTCGGTGTTGTCTTTGATTCGAATATTGATTAGTTGTTTAGTCTGTTAAGACTTAGAGTTTTCTTAAAATTTATTTTGACTATGCTCCGTAATGAATGATTACAATGTTTTGTAAGATATATGTAGTGGTTCTAATGGATTATGTTTTGTTAAAACGCAATGATTATGTTTTGTGTTAATTTTTTATGAATACAAGAATTACTAACGCAAAACCACTTGCATTGATTACAGGACTTGAAACTCTCACCCATTTTCTTGACGTCAAAAATGATAAAACTACTCCATGTTTTATAAAGATAAGAAAAGGAGAGAGTGATGATGATGATGATGCGTATTGAATCGACGAATAAGAGGAAAATGTGACACGTTCTCTTTTCCCCCATTACGCTCTCGTCACTCCTCACCAGCCTGCTCCCTTTTTCAATCTTTTCTGTTTTTCCCCTAATTTCACGAAAATTAAAAAGAATATATACCAACTTTCAAAATAAAAAAATAGACTACCAAACTAAGTGATCGTAACGACTCTTTCGAAAAAACCAAACCCTAATCTTGTCTTAAGACAAATTATACCAAAAAGGAAAGATTTCATAATTGTAAGGAAAGTAGTATAATTTGATACTTATTAAAAATAAAAGAAAATTGTTAAAAGGATTTGGCTATAGTGGTTGCTTTGGTGAACTCCACTCCAACGGTGGTTTGCACCATCTCCATTCCCATCACTACCAAAACCCACACTTCTTTTTTTTTGTTTGCGTAGTGTAGGTTAAAAGGAACTTTATTTATGCTGTTTTGGGGTTGGCATAGTGTTTCAATCGAATTTGAATTCAACATTCATTTTTTTTATAAGTATTATTTGTTTGGAAAATCTTTAAAATCTTCAAGGAGTTTCGGTAGAGATTATCTTAATTCAGTTTACTACAAATCGACGTAATCCAGATTGACATCTGATTTATACATATATCCTGTAATTTTTCATAGAATTGAATCAATATTATTACTTAATGTTTCGATCGGAATACTATTTTCTCCTTTTGGTTACCTAATCTTATATCTAATGCCAAAAATAGCAGAACATAGAAGATTGGATAGATCATATATGCCCATTACCGACTGCATGGCAATGTTTTGTTGTATAATCGAGTAACCATTGTTTGTCACTTGTCACTAACAATGCTAAAATATTATTATCTTTATTTATACGAGCAAAAAATGTTACCATGCATACTAATATGTTTTAGACTGTATATATGTAATACATAATATATAAAATTTGTATTTCAGCTTAAAAAAATGTAACTGATTATATGAGTTTTAAAAATATATATTCAAAATTAGCCTTTTTCTTAGAGTTGTGACCTTGGTAATGTAAAAATCAATTTCTGCTTCATAAATTGTTTTAAATTCTTAAAGTACGAGGCTAACTGAGATTTCTTATTATTTTTCTTTATATATTTGCATCTTTTTTTTATTTTATTTTTCTGATGCAGTATGTGACATCTACCTCGATTTTAAGATTTTAGATTGGATGATTTATATTGTTTGAACAAAAAAATTGGCTATTTATATAGATTTCATAATTTGTAGTATTTGTTCTTATAACTTTGTTTCATTTGGACCTTTAGTTAGATGTCATAATTTCTTGAAATTTCAAGAAGACTAGATCACAGGTTTAATCGGTGACTTTCAATAATACTAGTTTTAACACGACAAGCAAAATATTGTATATTAATACTATAGTATATTAATACTATAAAATTATTAATGGTAGTATTATGAAATACTAACAAATTCAACATTTGTGTTTATCAAAAAAAAAAACAAATTCTACATTTGTAAAACTTAATGTTTTAGCATATTTCCTAAGAAGAATTCGTCAACCCTTGTGACAAGACAAGCTAAATTAGCATGGACAAGGAACACAGCATCATGATATAACCCTTCACAATAATTATAAATAAAATCAATCAAATTTGTATTGAATAATGTGAAACAGACCTGACTTATCAATATGTGACGAAGGATAAGCCCAAGCCAAAAACATCCACGTAAAGAACCATTGATTAGGTCCAAAGAAAATTGGAGAAAACAAAATCAAATACTGACGTGAAAAATAAAAAGAAATCATCACTTTTTATCTCTTTCTTTTCTTCCAAAAACAAAATAGAGTATAATAACAAAATGAGCAGCAACAAAAATTGAATAATCAACTAATTTTTAATATATGTAAACAATTCTTAACAAGTCTTGTGAGCATGAAATGAAATATAGAGGCGAGTGGATTAGACTTAATCCTGATTTTTTATTAAGCTGATCCATATTTTACATTGAAATAAAGGACACATCGTTTTACACGAAAATGAAGAGACAAATAAAGAAGAAGAAAAGCATTGATTCTGAAATACCAATCTAGTATCATTCGTGAAAGAAGATTTTGTAATATTCCATAAACTAGAAAGAAATTAGGGATAGGAAAAAAAGAGCTTTAACTTTTGGAATTGGAAGAAGCACAAACACACACAAAAATACACAAAGTCTCTGTTTTACCTTTTAACCCCTTCAAGAATCCTCCTTTAACTTCAGTGCCCTCTTACTTTCTCCTCTCTCTCTCTTCCTCTGTTTCTTCGCCATTCTCTCAGCTTTTCTCCTTCTTCTTCGTCTTTGTCAGGTAAAGAGATACGATGAGCATATCCCACATACCTCTTTCCTCTTCTCATCTTTCTAATTTTTCGAAAGTTTGCATGCGCAGACTTTGTTATTGATCATAAACTTTCGCTTTTTAGCCACTTTTTTCGTATGTATGTTTTGTTTGTGGTTGTTGTAATAGTTGAGAATTAAGACTATGTCAAGTGAAACTTATGTGTGTATGTGTTAAAGAGTTAATGGAGCTGTGGACAGAAGCTAGAGCCCTAAAGGCAAGTCTAAGAGGAGAATCTACTACCTCTCTCAAACATCACCAAGAAGATTTAAGCCGAACTTCTTCTTTGTCGGAAGATTTCTCCGTTGAGTGTTTCCTCGATTTCTCAGAAGGTCAAAAAGAAGAAGAAGAAGAACTTGTCTCTGTTACTTCTTCACAAGAAGAACAAGAACAAGATTGTATCTTTAGTTCACAACCTTGCATCTTTGATCAACTTCCTTCTTTGCCGGTAAATTTAGAAGCTTCCTTTTTCTTTTTCTTTCTTATAATTAAAAGATATTTATATTTTCTTGATTTTTTTTTTTTTTGTATGATATTTTAGGATGAAGATGTGGAAGAGCTTGAATGGGTATCTCGTGTTGTGGATGATTGTTCATCACCAGAAGTCTCACTTCTCTTAACACAAACCCACAAAACCAAACCAAGCTTCTCAAGAATTCCGGTTAAACCAAGAACCAAACGGTCTCGGAACAGTTTAACCGGTGGTCGTGTTTGGCCACTCGTTTCAACCAATCATCAACATGCAGCAACAGAGCAGTTGAGGAAGAAGAAACAAGAAACAGCTGTTGTGTTTCAAAGAAGATGCAGCCATTGTGGCACAAACAACACACCACAGTGGAGGACCGGTCCGGTCGGTCCAAAAACCTTATGTAATGCATGTGGAGTCCGGTTTAAGTCTGGTAGGCTCTGCCCGGAATATAGACCGGCGGATAGTCCGACGTTTTCGAATGAGATTCACTCAAATCTACATAGGAAGGTTCTGGAATTGAGAAAGAGTAAAGAGTTGGGTGAAGAAACAGGTGAAGCTAGTACTAAATCAGACCAAGTCAAATTTGGCAGCAAGTGGTAGATAAGACTTAGGTAAAACCTACTTTTTTGTAACATTATCTGTAGTGTTGTAATTTAACAACTTGCTTCTTAACATTTGAAACTGTTTCAGGAACTAGTCTTAAGTAAACAATGGTTTTCTATAAACAAAATTATGTTTTTAAATGATTTATAAGACCACCACCACCACTACTACTACTTAGAATGATTTTTGTCCATGTGTAGTGGCTTATAGACTTTTTGAGTAAACAAAATGCCAAATGGAAGAATCATCTTGAAAACTCCAGAATACTGTAGTTTGTGATATAGTAGATAAAAAAAAAAAAAAAAAGCTGGTCACAAGTCACAAAACCTTAGTCCACTTCTTAGTTAAGAGTCATTACTTTACAAGATCTACATCTATACATTGAATAGTTGTGCTTCAAAGCAACTCAATCCCTTTTGCAAGCATAAAATGTTTTTTAAGTATAGACTACTGACTATTGTGACAACATGATTAAACACAACATACGCATAGCATTTACCGGCACATGGAATTTACCAGCTTTAATTTTCTACCTACAAGTTCTTAATTCATATCAATTGTTACGTATATAAAGATTTTATAATACAAGGACCACAGTTCCATGGACCCTTTGGTCAGTAGTTTCATAAGTGTTCTTTCATAAACTAGATTTCAATAGAAAAGTAGCTTTATCATGTGCTATCTCTTTCTGACTTTCCCCAAGCACAACCACCACTTTAAAATCTGAAATCCTTTCGATCTTCATATTTCAAAGCAACCCAATCTCAACTTGCTCATTAATAACATCAACAATTTTTTTTTCTCCAGTCAAGGTCCCTAGTACTATAAGGCTCCAAACCATTGAAACATATAAAAAAAGTTATGATACAGTAAGTCTATGTTAACTTTTTACTTCAGAGTTGAATTCATGAAGCATATAGCAAGTCTATCTTATTATCTTACCATAAAACTTTTGTATGCAAATGTTGTTGATACTACAAAAAAATTTCTAAGCCACCTCCACAACAAAAAGAGATGCTACATGAGATGTAACGAAAATATAAAGATTTATTTTGTTTGGATTTCTAATTCCTTATAAATCCATGAACCAATAACCCTTCCTTAGTACTTAGTAATCTCTTATTAGCTCAGAAATTTGGTAATCTTTTGTTTTGTATTAAATAGTTTATAGCTTTGACTATGTCAACAATCCGTTGTAGTCTAGCTGGTCAGGATACTCGGCTCTCACCCGAGAGACCCGGGTTCGAGTCCCGGCAACGGAGATTTTTTTTCCTTCATCCTGGTTTTTTTTTTTTTCAGTATACCGGTTATGGGCCGATTTCTTTTCTTAATTTAAGCTCCAATAAAAGGCCCATCTGAAACTTTCTTCACGGTCCCTCTAACTGAAGGAGAAGGTTTCTCATTGTTGAAAAAGGGAAATTAGAGGAAGAAGAAGAAAAGAGAGTGTAGAGAGACTCGAAATCAATCGGAAGAAGAAGAAATGAGCGGAGTTTCGACGGCGGCGTACTTTGCGCGGCGAGCGGCGCAGAAGGAGAGGGTTCGAATCCTTTATCGCCGTGCCCTTAAGGATACTCTCAATTGGGCTGTTCATCGCCATATCTTCTACCGTGACGTTAGTCTTTTCCTCAGATCTCCGAATCGGACTTTTGATTTTTACCGATCTCGCATTTTGGTTTTGATTTCATTGATCTTCGTTCCTTTTCAGGCTTCTGATCTGCGTGAGAAGTTCAATGCCAACCAAGATGTGGTTTGTTCTCTTCTCCTTTCATTTTACATACCTCTCGGCTCTCTTTGCTTTGCTTTGTTTGATTGTTGATCGAATGATTGTTATTTGTTAAAATGTTTTGATAATCTGTAGAAATGGAAAATTTATCTTCTTTTGTTTGATCTAATTTGGTAGAGAGACTTGAGAGATATGACCATAACAATGTAAGTGTGTTTAGATGAGAAAATTGGGGACTTTTGTTGTGGAAACGTGTCATTTTCTCTTGCCAAGTTGTTTAGATTCTTTGCTATTGTCAAATAAGTGAATGTGTGTGCAAGCTTGTTTCACAGATGCTTTACTCTGTTACGAATCGGTAGGAGATAAGAGAAATAGGAATGCTGTTCAATGATACGTCATTCGTGTGTTGAGTTTGCTTATTCACTCATTATCATTACAATTTGGAACTCTGGTTTTCGCTATCCATCAGCATATGATTAATGCTTTGTTGAATTCAAGTAAAGGATGTACCTTTTTAAACTGGAGCTGAGAATTATATAATGAAATTCTTTTATTCAACTGCTAACACAATGACAATGTTGCTGATTACAATGTACGTTTGAGTCTCTCGTTTTTGCTTGTCCCTTGATATGATCCTTTGATTGGGGTATTTGTAGGAGGATGTCGACAGAATCGACAAACTGATTGCTCATGGTGAAGCAGAATACAACAAATGGCGGCACCCTGATCCTTATATCGGTAAGCATCTCGACCCATGAATTAGTTATGGTGGATCTGTTAGGAAGAAATGTTTATTAGCTTTATGGGATTCCTCTCACATAAGAAAACGAGAAAGCATTTCATTTCCTCCAAATGACTTACATTTTCTGTTGTAGTTCCATGGGCTCCTGGTGGCTCAAAGTTCTGTAGAAACCCGACTCCGCCTGCTGGGGTAATTTTTTGTTCTCAACACTTACCAGTTACCAAATCCTTTGTCATGATCTCCCTTTCTTCTTTGCAAGTGCTGATCTTTTTTTTGTCTGTGACTGATGCAGATTGAGATTGTGTATAACTATGGTCTAGAAGACAACCCATAAACCTAGCTTCCATATTTTCACACCCATCAATAAAGTGAGTTAAGAGAATCATCAAGTGCTAACGGCTGCATCCACAATAGTTCCTCTTAATTCTAGTGAATGTCCCTTGATATATCAAAATGTCACAGTGGAACCACTAAGACGTTATATTTCAATGGTGTTTGTTATCTATTGCAGATTGAAGCATCCGATGGCTATGGTTTGGAGACGACTTTCAAGGTTGAAACTTTGAGGGACCCATTGTTGTTTTAAAGATGTTTCGTTCCAGTAAGACAATATCTTGTTTCAACTTGGTTTATTTCTTTCATCTAAAACATTTCCGGCTGCTCTTGAGTCATGGATGTTGGACCATGAAAACTTGTCAGTAAAACAACAAAATTGTGGTCTTTTTTCCTTTGTTCAACCTTGGCTGCAAATCGAATACCGGAGAATGAATCGTATAACTCTAATCTACTGGTCTTCTTACGCATGAGGCTGTTTCTTCACAAGGAATATTTTGAAAGAGACGGGTTTAATCGAACAACATCTCAGCTTTGTCTCGCTTAATAATGGTAGAAACGCAACGTATAATCACATTCCAAATCTATTGGAGACACAATTTGAACCGTAGATCGGAAATTTTGGGTAGATAGGAATCAATTATCTGACTATGGGAATCGGGGACCGATCCCTGCAAATTGATGGCGTCACGTAACACTTGGCATTTTTGGTAAGGACCATGGTCGGGAAAAGTAAATGCCGATTCCAAACCCAAATTGCTAAATTCAAAGCAAAGATGTTATAGGATTGGATTCTACCAATCTTAGCCCCATTTTCACTTGCTAATCTTCAATCCCACGGTAAAAGAAACGGTTAGAATTTTGCAAAAGAAAACAGAGAGCTTGATGCAAATATTAGTAAAGACAAGATTGAACATAATGTTTTTTGCAGTTTTGGTTGAATTGTGACTTACTCAAGCTTTGACGTTTTACGGTTTTAAACTTTTACAGTTCGAGGATGGCTTGATCATTCTCTCATCTTTTTTAAGAAAGAATGATATACTTACTGTATTTATTTCGTAAAAATATAAATGTTCAACTAACACACCTTACTATTCTCTACCATCTTCGTCAAACTTTTCACCTTTAAATTTTAATCCTTCCTTTTTTTCTGCAGAATTATATGCTTTTTTACATGATCGCCAACAACCGGACAAGTATAATGGAAACAACACATTATCTCGAATATGCATTTCTTTCCTTTTTTTTTCTCTTTTCTTTGTCAATAATAATGAGTCCAAAGTTACCTCCACGTAAAAGGAAATCTGTCGCACACCAAGCCGTGACTTCAAAATAAAGTAAAACTATTCGATACAGCAAAATACCTAAAAACACTCAATCATGAGGCACATTATCAAATAATCATTTAACCGCTTCCCAAAGCCTTAATAGATAAAGGACAGATAAAAGATGTCAGTCGATAATACACATTAAATGTCAGAATCTACCATCTCCATGTGGTACTTGTGTGTCTTGTCACATTCACTCCTTCACTCACAACAACATCGCTCACGACGCCGGTTAATGATGCGGCGAACCTAATCCCTAAAAAAACAACTAGACAAGAGTTTTTTTTTTTTTTTTTAAACTAAATTATTAAAGAGTGAAAAGAACATTCACTCCTTCTTGTTTGCTGCTCCATTTCATCTTCTTCATCGGGTTTTTAGAGTTGTCTATTTAGTCTTGTTTGCAGAGCTTTTGGCTTGCGTCTGTGGAATCTCTTGGTTTGTTTCGAGTATCGATATTGGGTTTGTGGAAGCGGTCGTAGCGGCAAGTAATGGGTTTGTGGTTTCAGTGAAGATGTTTGTAATTCCGGTTCTGGTTGATCTACGGTGTGGCTCGAATAATAAGGTATCTTCATTGCTTGATCCTACCCACGTTCTGTTCTTGTTCATGTGCATTTCTTCGTTATGATGCCGTCTGTGCTGTTTGGTTGTGATTGCGTTTTATCCGCCCAGCCTTTGCCTTTCCTCTCTCCCATGGTCTACTCGCCCCGCCTTTGATTCCCTTAAGGATCGTTCCCTTTCTTTGCTTAGGCTCCGTTTTATTTGAAGATATGTTTGTCTACAAGGTTTGCAGATGGCTCTTCTCATTGTTGTTGTTCGCTGTGGATGATAGCTATCTCGATCTAGCTCGGTTGAGCTTGGTTTTTCGAGAGGTTAGGCTTCGCTCCTTGTCTTTGCGTTGCAGGTCCGGTTTGACCTGATCGCGTTTTGAAGGCTTCTACCTAGACGATAAGAGACGCTGTGTCGTCGTCGTCACATCCGGAAGTGTTTTCGAGTCTTTGCTTGCCGGGTTATGAGTGCCTTGGTTCTGGTTTCGAGAGATCGGCTCTCATCATGATAGGAGGTGGCTGGAGTTTACTTTCGGTTTGGCCGTTGGCGTCCGTGGTAAGTCTCATCTACAGGTGCTTCAGTAGAAGAGTTCTTCTTGCTTCTTGAGACTAGTGTGTTTTGTAAGGTTTAAGCCTAGTTGCTTATGCTTTTAGGTTAAGGGTTCGTCCTCTTTCGTTTGAGCTTTGAGTTGTTTCTGCTAAGTAGGTTTACTATTTTCTGTTTCCCTTCTATAGGGCTTAGACTCCGGGGATATCTTGTTTTTCCTCCGGCTTTTGACTCCGAGGACTTTTACTTCGTCCGTCGGCTTTAGTTTCCCTCGTTTGGGCTTTGTATTTCATCTTGGTTCCAACAAGTTTATCAATAACAAATCAGTTGACAAAAAAAAAAAAAACTTGTTCACGATTCATCGTTTTAAATTTTGAACTTTAAGAATAACTCATAAAGGGAAAGAAATCGTCGAATGGCAGCAGACAAAGCTCATAAAATGGTCTTCTTTTATATGGTCAATTTTTTTTTTTTTAATAAACAAATAAAACGGGAACGGCTACATTTCAAGGTGCAAATAAATAAAATAAGATAAAAAGATCCGAATTTCACAAAAGGCTTTCATAGTTCGGATCTACTTACTTAAAACCTTAAACAACGATGGATCATGGATCTCATCATGTTCTTATTTAATAATTTTTATTTAAAGAAATCGTACCATGACGATTTTACGATAATATATTGCAACAACAAACAACACCACGACCACCTTTCTCATCCAGAGAGGTAATCGTAGCCGTCTTCGTCGCAGTAGTAAAATCCGAGGTTACTGATCGCAGCTGAAAGAGAGTTACTTGGCGATGCCTGCTCAGTCGCAAGATACGGCATGTTGTGGAACGAACGGTCGAGGCAAGCCGCGACATTGTTGAACTCAACATCTTCTTCTTCCTCTTCATTTTCACCTTCGCTACCACCTTTGGTATGCATCATTTCCTCTGCTCGGTGCTTTAGGGTCTGAAACATTAGCTCGGGCTCATGCTGCATTGCTCGAAGAACATCCGCAGAGGACTGACCAGGCACGGCTCGGGTCACTGCAAAGCTGTGTGGTCCATCGCTCTGCGAGACCCGGACAACGCTTGGCCCACCAAACAGATTGTGGACTCCACCGAGAGCCTCCTCGTAAGCCCCTCCAAGGAACATACCCAGAAAGTACTTTCCTCCACCGCCATTGTTGTCCAGCTCGTGCAACGGCAAGCTGGATTCGCCGCCTATAAACTTATCAATCTTCCCATCGCTGTCGCATGTTAAATCCGATAAGATCCCACGAACCCCGGGCCTTTGGTCAAGCTTATGGATAGGAACTATAGGAAACAGCTGATCAATCCCCCAGAGATCAGGAATCGAAGTGAAAACCGATAGATTGATATTGTAAGTATGAACCGGATCCGATGCGCCTATAGCCTTCAACACCCACTCGCATAACCCATCAACAGAAGCTAATTGCTCAATGCTCAAAACACCACCTTTGAAACCTTCAACACACCTCTGCTTCAGCTGATCGACATAAAGGAGGCAGCTCTCGTGGTCTCCACGCATCACAGCAGCATAAAGATCCTCGTAATTGGCTCGAGCTTCCTCATTACCTTCGAGCAGGAACTGAATATCCTCAGGAGTCGCTTGATGCACCATTGGTTTAACCGCTGAAACAGCTTCAAAGATCAACACAGAATGATGAGAGACTATCGCTCTACCGCTTTCGCTGCATATCACCGGATGTTTCACTGACCTCCTGTCACAAACAAACCGAACAGAAGCTACAACAGCTTCAGCATACTCCTCGAGACTATAAGCAACAGAGAGATCCGATTCTCCAGACTTAGACCCATCGTAGTCAATCCCCAAACCACCACCAATATCAATCACTTTCATATGTGCACCAAGACGCACAAGTTCACAGTAAAGCTGAGCAGCCTCGGCGACACCATCAGAGAGCAACGAAGTCGACGGAATCTGTGACCCAATATGAAAATGCAAAAGCTGGAGACAATCAAGCATACCAGATTGACTCAGCTTCCTCAACACACGAACAATCTGAGTAGTAGTCAATCCAAATTTGCCCTTTTCACCAGAAGTTGATCCGAAATGACCCGAATGCTTAGTCCTCAGCTTAGCCCTTAACCCAATCACTGGCCTCACATTCATCTTCTGGCTCAAATCAATAACCAAATCAAGCTCTTCTTCTTGCTCAAGCACAATCACAGTATTCAACGCAAGTTTTTTCCCAAGCAGAGCCAAGGATATATACTCAGCATCTTTGAATCCATTACACACAAGAAAGGCATCAGGATTACCTTTACACAAGCAGCTCATAGCAAGAAGGATCTCCGGTTTAGAACCAGCTTCTAATCCAAATCGAAACGAAGATCCAAACTTGACAATATCTTCAACAACGAATCGATCTTGATTACATTTCACCGGATAAACACCTTGGTAATGAGAATCATATCCTTGACTCTTGATGGCGAAATCAAACGCAGATTGAAGACACTCGAGACGGTTCTTCAATACATCAGGGAAACGAACGATTAATGGGAGCTGTAATCCCAAACCACCGGAGGATTTCGGATCCGTCACCTTCTTAACGATTTTGAGCAAATCGATGTCTTGGTGAGGTAAAGTTTCAGAGCCATGAGGACGAACAGAGATGTTACCAGATGAATTGGCTATGAAATAAGGAGCTCCCCATCCATCGATTCGATAGAGAGACGATGAGAGAGAGGTAGACCAACGGCAAGAGCTGTCAACAACGGCGGCGGCGGAAGTTGGTGACGACGCCGGGATAAAGACATCACCGGCGTAGCCAGGAGGAACAAATGACGTATCAACGCAAGCTAAAGCAGGCATCTTTATCTTCACCCTCTTATCAGCAAACGATCAACAATCTCACTTTACAAGAAATTCTCGAACACAAGAAAAAAAACTTTCGAGAGACGAAAACAGAGCAGAAACTGAAAAATCGAAGCTTTTTTTCCCAGAATTTGTGAAGGTAGGGGTTTAAAAACCGCCGAGGCCGGAGCCTCGGCTACCCCCTCAGGAGAAGGCAGAAGATGAATCTATCCCCGCCGTGAAAACCACCTCTCGCAGCCCTTCCCGATCCGAGAATCTCCACGATGAATAATTCAGAAGAAACTAAAAAAAAATGGAAATTTTCCAAATCTGAACCCAACAACAACGAAAATTCTCTAAAAGATTCTCCCAACCATGCAGAGCTGGATTTGTTTATGGAATTTGAGGTGGTGAGGAAATAAAAAGAGGAAAAGGAGAGAATGTGAAGTATTTCACGGGGAAATGCAAGAAAAAACAGAGACGGAAACCTAGCGGAGAAGACGGAAAATGAAGAAGAGAAGGCGTGAGTTTGATGAAGGCAATGGGCACTTGTTTATATAGGGGCTAAGGAAGGAGGAACCAACGTGAGAAGGTTATGACTGAGGCAAGTTTGATTTGGGCCATGGGGCCCATTTACGATTACGTTTTATACTTTTCCTTTTTCTTCAACATTTTTGACCTTTTTCACTCTGTTAAAGGAAATTTATCCTAGATTTGTTGTTTGACTAGTAAACCATGATATTTTAGAATAGACTCTGATTAGTAAGTTTAGCGATACGGTCCAATATAGACACAACACAACTATGAAATTTTACTATTTTCATGTGTTGTCGTGTTGTGTTTTTTCTTTATTTTTAAGTGTTGTTTCTTCTCTTTATTGGTTCACATTTTTTTTCCCGTTACCTGGCTCCACACAATTTCCTAAAATATGTTTTCTTTTGCATATTTTGAAAATTAAACTACCAAAATAATAATATAAAAAATCTCTTAATACTGTTAGAAATCAATTGAGAATATTCCTTATAATGTAGTTTTTTGTATGAAAATTATTTGGAGTTTATCCATAACATACATTAGAAATTAGAAATCAGAATGACAAATGATACTAACTTCAAGTAGAATTCGAAAGTAAGAATCGATTTTTCTTTTTTGTTAACAAGTTAGAATGATTTTTTAAATAGTTTAGTAGAACAAATCTGAAAATAATCTTTAGATATTTACTGGACAACAACAACAACGGAAGTGAAATTTGTAAGTTTTTTGAATTCTATTTTAATTTATAATATTTTGTTTATCAATCTTCTATCTTCCCTAAATTAAAAATTACTGACAACTCGTGTAACTCATGTTGTGGTCTCGTCTACAAATTTTTTTGTTTTTTTCTGTAAAACTGTTATGTAGTGATATTTTATTTTTCATACCACGACAACAAAAGAAAGTAACTGTATTCGAAGTTTTTAAATTGATAAAAGGAACCTATGTTTTCAACTTGCTCTAGATGGAGGGGCCATTCAAGCTTAATTAGACTATTTCTATGGCCAATAATTGCGTAATTTGGTAGTTACATGTGCTTAATGGACCATTAAACTTAGACAATGTCTTTTTACAAAAAAAATAAAAAAATAAACCATTATACAATGTATTTACTAGTAGTTTTTAAAAACAAATTTCCATGTTAGTAGCAATAGTAAAGTGTTCTTTTTGTTGCTGATAAAATAATGTAAAAAAAAGGGCAAAAAAGATTGTCCAGAGTGATAAAAAACCATGTAGGGAGAGGAAAAAATAAACATTTACTTTAATATAGTGATAATTTGGTTGCTGTCTGGTTTTAAAAGGAATAAGGTCATGCTTGGGTCACGAACACTCGGCTACGAGGCGCCGCGTGGCGGTCTTACGTGGGGAGTAGTTGTGTTATGATGTTTCGTCTCTGCTTCTTCTTTTGCCCTTTTTAGGTTAAATTTTAAAAAATTGCGCCGCTCGTCTTTAGACGTGCGAGTTATGGTCTCTTCTATATCGCCTGACGCGATATTATCGACTTCGAAAAGATATCCAACGACGAGATCTATGATTTTCAGTACAACGGATCAGATTCTGCCATGTGTATCTGTTTCTTCTTGTTTCTCCTTAGGTGCTTGTTATCATATATAAATGCGAAAACATTAGAGGGCCATATTTTTTGATTGCATGGATTTTGGAAGCATGTAAATAAATTTAGTGATCTCTATGTTTCTTTCAACATGTTTCTGTTTTTCGCATACTCTTTTAGATCAACATCGTGTATCTAGTCGATTTCTCAAACCCGATACCAAAACCTACTCTTTTCGAGAGTATCTGGTCGATTTCTCAAACTCGATACCAAAAACTATTATTTTTGACGGTGGTCATGTTCTTTGACATGAGTTTTCTGTAAACTTACCATCAGTCCATCGCATAGGTCAAAAAAGCAAGAATTTGATTGGTCTAAAGTCTAAACAAAACAACTTAGTTTATATATAGTGAAAATCAAACCAACTATCACTTCATCATCTTGTTTGGATGTTTTTTTCTGCATTTAATCACATATATTATACGACTTTGTACTAGGGTTGTAGCACATCAATAACACTGTTACACTAACGCAAACCACAATATTTAGACAAATGAAAACATAGAACTAAAACAACATAGTTATTGTTCGTAAAAATGTGAAGAAGGCATCGAGTTCTGGAAACAAAGGATTTGGACAATTCATAATAAATTGAGTTGTTGAGAAGGTGCACTAAATTATAAATCCACTTTTTGACAAACAACTTGATTGTTGTACTAGCAAAGATAAAAAAGCAAATCGATTAAAATTAGTAAGTACTAATAACAATTAAAAGTGGAATATGCAACAATTATCAAAAAGAGAAGAAGTGGAATATTCAGCAATAGAATAAGGAAAAGAAAACGCGTTGACGGCGGTAAACGGCCGTTTACTGAACGCGGACGGCACACGTACACTGTTGCTAACGTAAATAGTGCTCTTTCATTTCATTTTCATACAAACTATTCTATTCCTCCTTATCTTCAAAAGAAATACAAAAAAGTATTCTCATTATTCCTCAAATTAATGATATTCGTTCGTATGGAGCCATATATAGTACTAGTTATGAAGTCTCAATTGATATCGTAACTCCCAATGACGTGTGATTTGGAAAATTCACTATCATGTGGTTGTGATGGTCAAGTAAGGCTACGCCGCCAGGGTTAGATCTGTTTACTGTTCCTGAAACCCTAATTTCTTCTCTATGTTGTAACTGTGAATCTTGTATTCGACCCAGGTCTTTCGCCTTTTGGGGAGGCCCATTAATGAAAAAAAAAAAGATTTAAGGCTACGCAATGACTTTTGATACTCTCGACAATCTATTTTAACATACGTAGCCGTTAATTTTTTTTTTTTTTTTTGTGATGATGAGATGATTCAAACAAATATTTGTGAAAGAATGGGATGCTGAAGAAAAAGAAAAATATTAAGAAAGATATATAGGATAATAAGAAAAAAAAAAGGTGTTAGAAAGATAAGATCTCACGATAAAGAGAAAATAACTATGTACAAAACTTCAAACAACATGTTATATCACTAATTTACTTCACTTTTGAGAAATTTGATCAGTTGATCCTAAAACTTATGAGAGTTTCTTGTAATTCTAAAATGATGAATTGTGTGTTATAAGTTCTTATCACTCTATAGTAATTAGACAAATAAACGAAAGCAGTTGTGTGTAGTTGTCCTTAAGTGTTTGAGACTTTATTGTTTTAGGGCTTAGGTTTCGCCGCGTCTTGAACGGCGTCATGGACGATGGGGTAGTGAGTAAAGACTAAAGAGTGAGTAGGACAACCCACGCAAGTTTTTTGATAGATTCTGACATATTTAATCGTTTTATTTATTAGGCTTTGGGAAGCAGTTGAATGATTGATTGATATGTGGGATATGGTTCATAATTGAGTTTTTTTTTTTCGTTGGTATTCTGGCATGTATGTGTGTTACTACTAAACATATTTGTTGTTGCTAATTTCGTTGATTGTCTTTACTGTGTTAGTAAGTTCAGCAAGTAGCAACGGATTCGAAACTAATATCTGTCATTAAATTTATTGAGAATTGGAGAATTACCTATGAAATTAAGTAATTAACGATAACATCTTCTTCTTTCTTATTGCTTAGCAACAACCTAAGGTGAAATTATCCAATAAGCAACGACATTTTAGTAGTTGATTTGGTCGAATTACCAACGTTTTTGGTGCATGCGCATTCGATTTTTTTTTTTTTTTTGGAAAAATACTGCAATAAAAGGCGTAGAAATACAAGAAAACAGGTTTGTGATCGTCATTTAACTGCAAATGAGCAACCTTACAATATGGACAGCTGTACCTTGTGATCGTTATCTCCATATAAACAATTAAGCACGTTATATGTATTATATTAATATACTATACACAAAATTTATTGCGATGGTTAAAACATTACAAAATTCCAGAAGGTATATTCTTTTGTATGAATTCTAGAAGGTTTTATCAAGTGTAAAGTCTTGTAGTATATCGTTGAAGTTAATGAACACATTTACTTATTTATTTATTTTTGCCTAGTGAAAAGACTGCCTCAAAAAAGGTTAAATTCATTTCATTTCACTATATGATTAACCCCTTTAAATTGAAAATTTTAACGTGGACCTTAAACTAAAAAGAAAAATAGAGAAAAAGAGGTTTCTTAAAGCAAAAAAAAAGTGAAAAAAAATAAAACGGTGATGATTGAATTGTTGAATGACTGATTTTAAGGTTGGAGGACTTGAGTTCGAGTACTTCTACAACGATGTCAATCATGATTACCTACTGTGAACAATTTAAACTGCAAAGATTACTCAACCTTGGATCCAAATTCTCTTGGTTACAAAAAAAAAATTGTTTGTTTGGGATTCGTAGCTAGAATATGACTTTGGTTTTTGTTTCCAACTCCAATAACACTCTAAATCAATAAACCATAAAAGCAAATTTGTGGTCACGATATCTCATGACAAAAACGTGGCGTTTTTACACCACAAAATTAACATAATGGTCAGTTTTTAACATATCTATATCACCAATATTTAAATTTGTATCCATCCATCTTTGTTCAGTTCAGCGATAGATCTTTCATTTAGGAAGACAACATTGTAGTAAACCATTTACGTGAATGAATATCAGTACTAAATTATTTTAGTACTGCAAATATTGTTTGTAAAATTAAAACCTGCGATCGTTTTATGTTTGGTCGCTGTTCATGTTTATATAACACACATATTATTATACTAATTTATGAGAATTACAACCTTTTTTTTTACTGATCGTATTATAAATTGATAATATATTCTTTTTAAAAAGTATTATAAATTGAAAATGTCCAAACACAAACAGAAGACACTTTTTACTGACCTATTATTTGTAAAACTTTTAACAAAAAATTTAAAACATTTTTATTTAGTTTATCTTGACATATTAACACAAACAAAAATACAAAAACTTATCTCGAAATGAAGTAAACAAAAAAAAAAAACTCAAAAACAAATTCATCAAAAGATGTGTCAAGACTCAAGGCACAAGTTTAACTTGTTTTACTAAAAACTTTTGTCACAAAAACGTTCAATAGTATGAATTTTCTTTTGAATCATATAAAAGATTGGAACACAAAAACAGAGGAGCAAGATACATGATACATGGCAGGCTAATTTCATAAGAAGACTCGAGATAGTTTCAGAAAAAGCAAACTTCTTTACAAATAAATGTATTTAACTTCCTCAGGACAAATACAAGAATACAAAACATACCAAGCTCCTCAGAGCTCTTTATTACAGAATCAAACAATAAAAATTCTACATCGGAGAGTAACCACCGGAAAAGAAAAGGAGATGACGATAGGCGGTTTTGCTTCCGAAACAAATTTCCAAGAATCCAGTATATTTTTTTGGTTCCCGATGATACATACTAAGCACGATAAAACAAAACGCACACAAAAGTAAAGGAAGTACCTTTGAGCAATCTTGTGGTTTACTTTCTCATTCCGCTCTAGACTGGCCAGCTCGTGAGGAAAGGATGATTCCCACAATAAGCCCGTAAAGAGCGAGCGCTTCTGCGAAGATAAGGATAAGAATCATCCCGACGAAGAGCTTAGGCTGCTGAGCATTTGCCCTGAAAAAGAATTGCAAATGGGTTAAGTCAAAACCAATAACACCTCAAAGCTTATAAGTAGCAGGAGGACGAGAAACAAACCTGACACCGGCATCACCCACAATCCCAATGGCCATTCCAGCTGAAAGACCAGCAAGACCACAAGCAAGACCAGACGAGAGATGAGCATATCCATCAAAGAGGTAGTAAGACTTAGCCTTGGGGTTAATCCCGGTACTGATGATAACAGCAATGATCAATCCATAGATACCCAAAACACCAGCCATAACAACAGGGACAATCGATTTCATCACCAACTCAGGCCTCATAACTCCCATAGAAGCCACACCAACACCACTCTTTGCTGTTCCATAAGCAGCTCCCATACCTGAATCCATCCAATGCAATTCAAGGATTCAACATGGTTTCGTATGATCAAAATAAAGCATCCAAAATTCGATGAATGCACAACGGAATCGAATCTCAATCTCAGATTTATAGCCAATTAAGGTCAAATGGTGACTTATAGCTCAAATCTAAATCATATCCAATATATCACAAATTCGTTCTTTTTGCAGATGGAACCTAAAAAGACTCATACTTTCAATCAATCACGATCAGACAAGCGATCTGAAACAAAGTTCAAAGCTATGTGCGGAAGAATACAAATCACAGACATTTGTTTCCATGAAAATGGGAACACGATCACGAACAAAGAAGCAGATCAAAATGGGAAAAGATAGAGAAAATGAATTACAGGAGAAGACGAGTGCGGCTGCAGCGCCGAGGAAGCCGAAGAAGGGAGCTGTTTCATCGCCGCTGAACGTAGACATGTCGAAGTTTTGTATCTGAGATCTCAAATCTGAAATCGAGTCGATGAAATCTGGCGAGATAGAGAGAAAGAGAGAGACAGAGATCGAGAGATGAGGATATCGCTGTTGAATTTATTTTATTTTATTTTTGTTGTTTTTGTTTTCAGATGAGTGGAAGGGAACAACGTTGCTTGTTCTGTAACAAGGACGACCACGTCATTTTGGGCCTGGGCCTGGGCCTGGGCCTGGGCCTAGTTTAAAGTTACGATTTTCCAAGCTTGTTAACGTTGTCTTTTGCTTTTCAAATATGTTCTCTTTTTTCTTTTAACTCTATGAGGCATGAGCTATAGAAAGTCGCAAATTCGCAATTATTGATTTGACATATGAAACCGAATCGGTTAATTTCTACTTGGGTCATTGTGAGAGCTGACATTAACACCAAACAAAGACATTACAATGAAAGCAGAAACATGAGCTTATGATCAACCCTTACACTGATTAATCCAAAATAACAATTTGTTGGAGAAAGCTGAGTAATGGACCAAAGAAGCTTTCAGGCTCCATAATGAACTGCCATGCCATCGGTATTCACCTTCTCCAGTTCTCCATTCCGCCTTAGTCTTGTCCAAAAACTTCACACACAAAACATGGAAAATGATTCTCTTAAGAGTCATGCGTTGATTTTTAACACTTGTTTCTATTATAGATGCGTGTCAGCAGCTTGTATTATCCAATGCTTTCTGGTCACAAGACTGACATGTTTAGGCTATCTACCTTGTCTTGTGTTCAAGGGAATGAAATGATATATGTTCCGGGTGTACTAAGATGAATGATCTCTCCTAAACCACCTAAAAAGCTTTAGATCATAGATGAGTTGAGAACATGTGATGACTTACCGCGGAGCGTTCTATCAGAGTAATATGCACTCGTTGCTTGGTGCTTAAACGGCTTCAGACCATTACTTTACATAGATTATGTCTTCGTCCGGGTCATCCACTTCCCAATCTTGATTATCATCTGCTGAATCAGATGGTTCTGGTCGCCCTTCGTTTACGCCATCACCACTTCCTTTCTCAGCTTTTATTTTGTCCAGTATAGCAATAACCTGAAACAATCTCTAAATCAGTTTCTGACAAAAAAACTTGGTGTAAGGAATAAAAGCACATGAGACAGAACATGACACAGTTCCTTGAATGACTAGCAGCAACTAGAAATTGCCGTGTCTAATATAATACATAAACTAGTTTTCCGAAGCAGAACTCCGAAGAATCATCAAGATCAACTAGGTCATGACTATGTATGCTAGATACTCCACAAAAGAGAGTAAGCTATAAAATTTGACCGCCATCACTGGGACATTCATTTCCTTACCAAAGATTATGTAAGATTTCATAAAACGCAGGAATATAGTATTAGAAGCCTTACCCTGCTTCCTCTTTCCATGGCTTCATCCTCAATAAATCTGACCTCAGGAGTCAATCTCAACTTCATTCGCTTCCCAAGCTCACTCCTAACGTACTTAGCTTTCGATTTCAACCCCGCAATTGCAACGTCTTTTCCTCTATCATCTCCAAACACGGATACATATACTTTAACCACCTACAACCCCAAAAGAAACCATTTCAGCCTGTAACATCTCTCTAAGTCACACTCTCAAATCATCACACACAATTGCAACAGCAAAGTCTTATCATAAATCATAAAACACATAATACGAATTGCTTCTGTAAAGAACTGATAACAATACTCGGATTTAAACTGTGTAAAGCCACAATGTTCAAGTTGAGACAATTCTGGAACCAAAGAATTTGAAAGACCCTAAATTTATACTCCATCTGCATAAATAGAGCAAAACCCACATGAATACATTACATACACAGGAGATTCCAATTAGAGTTTTTCATTACCTGCAAATCATTAGAGACCTCAACATCGCTAATGGTGGTAAGAGAAGAGAGGTAGCGGTCAGCTCCAAGTGCAGCTTCAGGTAAGACAGCGTGTTGTAAAACCGTGTCTGTGAGAAGCATGTCGGAGAGTTCTCTCATTATCTGCTTAGCCACCATCTTCACTCGCCTCGGGTTCGCCATACACCGTACGCTCCGGCGAACGGAGAGATTCGTACGGAGGTTAACCGGAGCCATTGATTGCGGGAAGTTGAAAGACTGCGACTTGGAATAAACGGTGTGGATTGGAGGATGATGGAGGAAGAAGAAGTGAGATTGATGGGTGTGGAGCAAGTTAGGCATCGTCACTCACAAGTCACAATGGATCCTTAAATCTCTCTCTTCTGTGTTTTGGATTTGAAAAGGTCTAAGGAAGTAACGAAACAAGAAACAATTATCCAGTGTTCTGAGGGTATAGTAGTAATTTCCGACAATCGACGGTGACGTGGAAGAGTTTAATCCACGTAAACCGATCCGAGTTTGAAATTAAACCCAAGTAACCAAATCGATAACCGAATCAATTTTTAGTAAACAGAGATGTTTCTCTCAAATAATGTATCAGCCAAAATACATTTTCGATTTTCAGAAACTCTGATTAAGTAAATTACTAAATTGCAATGAAAACAAAGAAAAGATTTGAATTCTAAATGAGACAAAATTAACAAAAACCTTTCAAAGATTCAGACAAGAATCACCCTCAAATTTAATCCATCCGAGACTCAATAAAATAGTAAATGTGGTAGCATTTGAGGTCAAATGGAACACAAAATTCAACAAGATTTCGTCATCATATAACTCCATTAGTACCCAAAATTGATGATCATAATGCAGATCTTGATCTGCTATCTACCGTACCCAACCTCCTTCAATGTTGTTGATTCCTCCAACGAGACCATCATCGATAAAATCTCCTCCTCGCTTCACCTTATCCTCTGTGGGCTTCACCGGATAGTCCCCTGTGAAGCATGCGTAGCAGAAGCTTCTAGAATCTTCCCCCAAATGTTTCTTTAACGTCTCAAACGACAAAAACGCAAGGGAATCGCATCCGATGTAATCCCTGATTTCATCAACACTCATTCTATTCGATATCAACTCATTTGAGCTAGGCGTGTCCACTCCGTAGTAACAAGATGCAATAATAGGAGGACTCGCGATCCTCATGTGAACCTCTTTAGCACCCGCTTCTCTCAATAAACGCACAATCTTGGACGAAGTTGTTCCTCTAACAATCGAATCATCCACAACAACAACTCTTTTCCCTTCTAAAACTCCTCGAACAGGCGATAGCTTCAGCTTCACACCAAAGTCTCTGATTTTCTGAGACGGCTCAATAAAAGTCCTTCCAACATAATGAGACCTAATCAAACCTTGCTGAAACGCTACTCCAGCTTTAGCCGCGTAACCAAGAGCAGCCACAACACCCGAGTCAGGCACAGCGATCACCACATCGCAATCAACAGGTGACTCAGTGGCTAAAATCTCACCAAAGACATGCCTAGACTCATACACAGACCGACCAAAGACAATCGAATTGGGCAACGAGAAGTAAATATGTTCGAAAATGCATTGCTTAGGCTCAGGATGAGGCATCAAACACTGACATTTAACACCGTCTTTATCCACAACCAAAACCTCACCAGGATAAACCTCTCTCTCATATGTAGCCTCAATCAAATCAAGAGCACAAGTCTCAGAAGCAAACACAACAGCTCCATTACTTCTCCTACCCATAACTAAAGGCCTAAACCCATGTGGGTCACGAACAGCAACAAGCTTATCCTCAGTAACAAACACCATCGAATACGCACCTTGAAGCTTCTCACAAGCATCAACAATCCTCATGAAAAAGGGTCTAGCTTTAGAAATCGCAATCAAATGAAGCACAACCTCAGTATCAGAGCTAGTATTGAAAATCGAACCATTTTCCTCTAAATCAGCTCTCAATTTCGTGTAATTCACTAAATTCCCATTGTGAGCAACACCAACAGAGCCAAATCGATAACCAGCAACAAACGGCTGAACATTCTTGAGCATAGAAGAACCAGCCGTAGAGTACCTGACATGACCAATAGCTATGTCTCCTGGTAACTGGTCGAGTTTGGATTCGCTGAAAACCTCAGAGACCAAACCAACACCTGTAATGGTCTGAAGAACCTTATCTTTACTAACGGTAACAATACCTGCACCTTCTTGACCTCGATGCTGAAGCGCGTGGAGAGCTAAGTAACAGAGTCGTGAAGCTTCAGAGTCGCCGTAGATTCCGACAACTCCACACTCTTCCCGAGGCTTCTCGTCATAATCATCGTTGTCTGCCGCCAAAAGGGTAAGAGGGTTTGAGACTCTAAGAGGAAGCGAGGGAGAAGAAGAGATAGAAGCGGGAAGAGGAGAGAAGGAGGAGGAGGAGGGTTTAAGGAAGGGATTACGGAGGAAACGGTGAGGCTTATTGTTGTTGTTGTTAGAGAGCTTACTGGGTTTAGCATTGAGAGATAGAGAAGAAGAGATGCTAGAGGTGGCCGCCATGGATGATGATGATGGAGGATTTTTGAGAGCAATGCGAAAAATTGCTCTTTTAGGTTTTTTTTTTATTTTATTTCTGATTTGTTTTTTTTTCTTGGGGTCAATTTGGGGAAAGGGTTATATTTGACTGTGTATGTATAGCACACGTCGTCAGTGAAGTGACCGCCTCACCCTTTTTTTTCTTTCTGAGAATCTTTTTAAACAATTTTTCTTTCGGCTTAAAATTCTTTGTACTTTGATGATATTTTAGAAGAGAATCTCTATTTTATTCGAGGTGGGTCCCTTCTTTTTGTGGCTCAAAATGCAATTTTAAATAAAACGGGTCGGGTTGATACAAAGCGGGTCGAGGGCACACATTTATAGAAAGCAATTCTAATTCCTCAAATTAAAGACACTAGGACGAAACCCGCGCTACGCTGCGGGGTATTTTTTAGATAAATTATTTTAATAAAAAATAATTTTTAATAACTAAATCATATTGTTTGAAAACTTTATTAAATCAGACACATGTGTGTCTAAGATTTTTTAAGAAGTTGTTTGGCATAAAGTGGCTTTCCAAAAGGAATACAATGCATGAGATGAATGCTTTTTACTCAAATTAGCTTAACAAACTTTGGTTTAGACAAATAAATGCTCTAGAGATCTTATAAGTGTATTCTGTCTAGCGCATTTACACTTAACACTATCTATGTATAGTGTATAGATAGTGTTAAGTGTCAATGTCATGTAAAGTTTTAAGCCTTCTTGAATCTTTTATAAGATGATTGGTTATTAAATGTTCTGAGAAGCTTATGGTTGTAGCTTAAGCTTCTCTTCTTTTCTTGCTCTAGCTTATGGCTTTAGCTTTTGAATTAGCATCTAGTTGAAGAATACATTTCAGCGGAAGATTGGATTTTCTATCGATTGCAAAATGTCTATGGTTCGTGAAATCATTATTAAATCAAACACCATGCATGAGGTAAATGTTTTTTACTCAAATTCCATATAGCATATCTTGTTTTTAGAATAAAAAGAATCAATAAAAATAGTTTAGTGAAATTATTACACGTTTTCCTTGTTCCTGGGTCAATTTTCTTCTGTGTCTTGGTTATCTTCACCTGCAATTTATATTTTCTTACAATTGTTTAATAATTATCCAAAAGAAGAATTTGATAATTTTATTATAGTTTATTGGATGATTTCTATCATCATAAAACCAATTTTTACAATTAGTTAATTTTGTTTTCTTGGGCAAATGATACTTAGTTCATAGAAAATTAATTCTTAGTTAATTTATTGTAAACTAATTTGATCATAAGAAAAACTATTAGCTTAAAAAAATACTTCACGTTTTATGATGTTTTGAACAACCCCTCATGGAATCTTTGAACAGTCCAAACAAAGTTTGATTTTTTTTCATCCGAGTAAGTCATCATTCGGATTCAACATCCAAATTCAGCGTCTTGGTGTTTTTCATCTTTATAAACCAAAATTTGCATTCGGAAGCAATATATCTCCATATGAAGTTGTTAATTTGTTTGTGAATTTTTAAAAAAAATCTCAATGCAATCTTGTATCAAAAGAACTAAAAGCAACATGTCTTTAAGCTAATAGTTTTTTTTTTCCTCATATTCAAATTAGTTTTACAATAAAATATCCAAAAATATATATATTTATTCAATAAATGAAATTTTATTTGGAGATAAAATCTTAATCGACCTTTGATTAATTTTGGCCCCCTAGACACCATTTACTTTGATTTATCATCCAAAATTTTTTCCACCGATTTATAAAAAAATCATGGAAACAATAAAATGATTAATAATCTTCTCAGATATTCATACATCCCAAGAAACAAACGAATTGTAATCACCACAAGAGTTTTCTCTCTTTCTTCTACACATGTATGACATATCTATGTCCTATAAAACATATTTATCAATCTCTCTATATATATTATATATTTATACACAAAGATTGATAGTAACAAGACCATTGGATTGTTATCTGCAGTTCTTCTGGTTTAATTTTTTTTTTTTCTGGTTTAAATATTAGAAAACAAGGATCAAAGCTAGATAATGTAAGCTTGCAGAAACCAAAGGCTAGATGTGTCGTTGAGATAACTGAGTTTCCAAGCTTGCAGATGATTGAAACAGAGAGACACAAGAGACGGGTTACTTCACTGACAAGGAGCAAAACTCAGAATAATTTGACAAGTTTTTCGTTTCATATATATGTACTTACAACTTCAATATATGTCATTTGGTTCGGGTTTATCGCAGAGAAATCTAGATATCCTTGCTGGATTAACGGAAACAATGGCACATCAACCATTATTGAATGCTTTGACGCAACTACATTTGTAAAGTAGGCCTGAAACTGAAATTTCATAATCCTTAAGTTGTTGAGCAATAACAATATCATTTTGAGGGTCTAGAGAATGTGCTTTCACCTGTTTTGCAGATGAGACAGGTGAATATATAATATAATGATAGTGATTATATTAATTTACATCAGAAACAACTTAACAATACTTGTCGAGTAATCCGTGAAGAGTCAGCACTAAGCCAATAATTAGTTTTCTCAGCACAAGTGCGTATCTGAAATCTGCAGGGTTATAAAGAAGAAGAAAAACAAATCTTTGAGTGTTTTTTTTCCAGATATTACAAGGCAAAAACCAATCACATTCTGTTTCCTTAAAAGCTTACCTTCTATGGCTCCCTTGTAATCGCTTAACATTTCTCTTGCGGTTCCTCTTCGTAAATAGGCTTTGACGTTCTGAAAAACAAAAACGATCTTTGTGTTGAGTGTTCTTACAAAAAGCAAAGAGCGTTTGTACAAGAGAAATATGCTTCTGTGTTTTGTAGAAAGTTACCTTCTTGTCAAGGGTGATGGCTTTGGTACAGTCTTCTTGGCTTGAAGAAAGCTGTATGTAAATGATTTATCAAGGCAATGCCACATGGAAAGATTGCTCACTAAAAATGTTTTTAAGGATCTGAGAAACAATTACCCTCCAACTTCAAGATATGCAGCAGCTCTGTTACTGTAATAAGTAGCGTTGTTGTCACTTAGCTTTATAGCTTCTGAGTAAAGACCAATAGCTTTCTGCCATTGTTTATCTTTGAATGCTTGGTTTCCCTGGTTTACATAATCATGGGACACAGATAAAAAACCACATTAGATTAAGGATGATAATGCCATTCAGAAAATGAGATCTGCAATAAGAATTAATTGACCTTCTCTTTGGCAATCTTAGCTGACTCTTCTTTGCTGATAGTCTTTTTAGCAGATTTGGGATCGACAACAATGCTTTGAGTACTCTTGCAAAGATGCATACATTGTCTGCACCGTATCTCGAGTACTCTAACAAATATTTGAGCACAAGACTTAAAAAGCCTTCCAAAACTATTTTACAAACTCAGGAAGAACAACTGCCACAAGCAAAAACCTTTTCAAGTTCTGTGAAAATCACAATTTCAATAATCGTCTCCTTTGGAAATAATCTCTTTGCAAGTTGGTCGTAACAAGATTGTATGCTCTAACTGAGAAATATAGCTTCCTTTCACATCATACACTGGAGGACATGGCTACAAAAGTAACCCAAAGAAACCTACTTTCATCAAAATGTTCTTGAACACAAGAATTAGAGCGTATAGTCTTTAGGAGTTTACCTCAATAATGCCAGAATCACAAAGATTCTTTAAAGCTATCAAGTATTTTGTTTCACCAAGGCGGTGCAAATAGCATCTGCAGAAGGCTAGTGTGGAGAAGTTCTTGTTAATAGTGGCAAGGAGTTGTTTTGCTTCTCATATACTTCCTAACTTGACGATGAACTTCTGCTGCTTGGCGAAGAGAGTTATATATCGGCTTTTGCAGCCGCTCCATCTCTCTCTTCTCTTCAGATGTTGTTCTCCACAAATTAATACATTACAATATACAGACTTAGCTAGCAAGACAAAATGTACATAGAATCTAGTCTAGATAAGGTATGTGAACTTACTCATCCTTATACTGTTGGATTTCACCTTCAGGAAAATCTTCAGAAGGGAAGAGCTCAAGAACATGAATTGAAGGAGGATCAGTCTGTTGAAGGATACTCTTCTTCTTCCTATAAACAATCATCAGCTTTTTGAGCAAGATCATCAAAGCAAACACTGAAGATTAATAGAGAAAGAAACAGAAAATGAACTTCTCACTTGCTTTTACTTTTCTTCTTCTTCTTCTTCGTTGAAGCCTCAGCTAAAATGAAAAGATTAAACAACAATAAAAGAAATAAGTTTTATCATTGTACACCTTAAATATCCAAAAGCAAAAAAAAAATTCATATCTTAACAGTAGGTCATTCCGACGCAAACAAATGATATAGAGGAAATTGAAGCTAATGAAATCAGAAATATTCTTGCTAACGTATGTCCATGGCGGCACCCTCATCGGAAGTTGAGCCTCCAATAACAAGAAAACTCGGCCGGCACTATCGGCCAGGAGCAGAGGCATAAGCACCGGAGGTTTCACAATTGGAAGAGCTGTACGGCGAGGCAACCTCGATTCCACGGTGGAAAGATAGGTCGCAGGCGGTGGAGTTTTAAAATCCAAGGGTTTTTAGATTTTTTTATCTTGTAAGTGGGCTATTATTTTGGTTGGGCCTAAACAAATGTTTATTTTGAAATTTGATAAGAGTGATGTGGAAAAATAGAATGATATTAGTGGAAGACAAAACTGAGCTGTATTATTTGAAATGTTCTGATTGGGTATCGATTTTAACTGAGGTGTCACCTCCAGAACACTTCAAAAAGCTGAGGTGTCAGCACTGGAGAGACTTCTGCTGTTTTTATTGTATTGATATGGGCTTTTCTATAAGGGTTTGTGAAAGGCCTGCTTTTTCAAATTTTAGGAAAATCAAAACAAAAGATAACAAGAGATTTTAAAATAAAGAAAGATATCCGAGTATTTATTAATTTTCTTTTTTTTTGTTGGGTAAAAATACTATTTATTAATTGTTTTTTTGATATCAAATATGCATCAATTCAATACCCATACCAAAAAAAATACACACAACCTATTATGAACTGTTGTTGACCAATTTTTTTAAAAAAATTGTTAGAACAATTAAATAGTTGAGTTCACTATACATACAAAAGCAGTGTTTTTAATTTTTGATTTACAAGATAAGGAAAATAAAAATTTAAAAGAGAGAAAGAAAAAAAAACCATAAAAAGATAAGATTAAAATCGTAATTTAGCAAACGTTCAAGGGCCAAAATAAAACCTAAATCATTAACCCTTAAATACCCCAACGCTCCCCTCAATATTCCCCTGCTTGCCGTATTATCCCAAAATTGGTGAAAGCAACGCCTAAAGCAAAAATGTCTCTTATCTAACCTTTTTTTTTTTTGCTCTCCAACTTTCCCTTCATTTTCTGGAGACTAGCGAGCCAATAACGCAAAAAGCATCCACAAGAAGCAATTGTTCGATATCAATGGGGAAGAACAATAAGATCGGAAGCGTTGTTCGGATCCGTCAGATGCTTAAACAATGGCAGAAAAAAGCTCACATCGGATCCAACAACAGCGATTCTGTTTCCGATGTACCTCCTGGTCACGTTGCTGTTTCCGTCGGTGAGAATCGTCGGAGATACGTTGTCCGTGCTAAGCATTTGAATCATCCGATCTTTCGTCGGCTTCTCGCTGAGGCTGAGGAAGAGTATGGATTCGCTAACGTTGGTCCGTTAGCGATTCCTTGTGATGAATCGTTGTTTGAGGATATTATTGCGATTGTGAGTCGGTGTGAGTCCTCATCTGGACGAGGTAATCCTCCGGCGGCGACGCTTGAGGATCTCCGGAGGTGTAGTCACGTCGGATTGGCCAAGAACAACGTCGAATCTCGGCCGTTGCTTCCTGGGATTGCTGAAAAATCTGTGTGCTAAATACATTTGAATCGATGGAATTTGCAAACGGAATTTGGATTGAAGCTTTTGGTTAGAGTTTTTTCATTTTGAAAGTTTTTTATTTTAATTTCGTTGCTAATTTTAATGATTCTAGTTTTGATGACTTGTTTTGGGGAAGGAGATGGCAAAATTAGGGTTTGATTGTTTTTGGTTGTCGCCAGTGTCGTCGTCCCAGATTGATGAAGATTGATGAAGGAGATAGTTTTTTGGAGAGAGGAGCCCTCAGTTTTTATTTAGATATTTTTGATTTTGGTCATGAGATTCTTATTTATATTTCTTTTGGCTATTTTCAATTGTATATTCAGATTTCTGAATTTTAACTGAGGAAATAATAAATTAATTTTAAAATGTTGTTGTGTGCTTCTTGATTGCTTACAAAATATACTTGAGATTTTCTCATTTTGTTAGTTAAAGTATCCATATTATAGCTCTTGTTACCGAAATTTTTGGTAAAGAAGATTACAAACGTAATTTGCAATTGTTAGCGCCTATGTTCAAAAGATAGTTTTGCAAATTACAACCAAATATGATTTGCAAAATACCGTTCAAATTTTCAGATCTACCGTTTCAAGTTTCAACACTAGAGTAACATTTTTTCAGATATGAGAAAATAATTTTAAAATTTTAAGACAAACCAAGTTACATAGGAAAAAAAAAAAAAAGTTAGCATTTTTTTCTTGTTCCACAATATAAGATTTTTTCAGATTTTTATGCATAATTTAGATTTATTTAGTTTATTTATGACCTTTTGAATTCTGCTGTCTTTTTTTCTATTGGTTAAATTTTTATAAATAAATAAACATTTACTACTTCTTAATCTTTGTGCTTTTAACAAAAGCATCTTATAATTTGGAACAGATGGAGTATCATATAATTAGCAATACAAAATTATGTTTTAACTTTTGATTCTATTATAAAATTAATGTTTAGATTTCTATGCAAATTTATTTGATATTATCAAACATACCATATAAATAAAATAATATTTATTTATACTGGTGTCATTTGAAAAACTAAGAAATAAAAGAAACTGAAATGTTCTGTCATTTATATATTTAAATATGTTTGAAAAATTAGAAAATCAATATTTGTAAAAATCAATATGTTTGAATGTATTTTTACCTCTCTCTTTTTTTTTTTTTTAATATACTATTTGTGAAAAGTTAGGAGGTCGTCAATCGCATGTTTTTTCTCAGAAACGGAGGACACATATTTGAAGATTATTTGTCCTATATACGATTTAATGTTATCTCACTAACTTGACCAACATTATCTAATTTCCATTGGTACGGTGTACGTGGTACCTCCACCAAATCATCTCACCTAATTCTTACGCTGATTTAACAGTTAGAGTCTCTCCCACTTGCGTTTTCTCCACCTTCTAAGAAAAATAGACACATGACTTTAGTAGAAGTCTAAACAGTATACATTTACAAAAACTAAAAAGTATTATCTACAAAGATCATCTCGAATAAGCTTAAATAACGTTGTGAAAAATTACCCACTTCCTCGATTTAAAACTGACCACGAACATGATAGTGTTCTTACAATTTCCTTTGAGTTTTCACTTTTTCTATATATAGAACCTAATGTTCTCTAACGACTAATCGATGGACACATATTTAGAAGGATCCATATTATTAAGTCTCTTTCCACTTTCTAATACGTGACTCCTAACAATTTTCTTTGCGGTATTGGAGGTTTTAAACAAATTTCATGATTTAAGAGCGATTTCCTTATAGACTGTCTTCATAAAAACTTATTGTTTCCCTAGAAAAGAGTACCCGTATCTCCGAGTAATCATAGAAATTAACCAATTTATATTCATTAATAAATAGTTGATAGATGTGTGCTTTTACTAGACAAGCATATCTTGGTAAATCATCTTGCTTTTGCGTGAGTATTCAACAAAGCAATACGCAATTTAATGATTTTACTATTGACTGTTGTTTACCCATCTTTATTAGATTTTAGTTAACGATCATACCAAGTCATTACTTTTCGAAGGTTACGACTTGAACTGGTCCTGCCAAGATTCATAAAATATGGATCGAATTAAAACCTGATCCTGATTTTTTTCCATAGCATAAAGATCGGTCAAGGCGAGACAAAAAAAAAAATCGAGATTAATATATTCTGCAAAATCAAATTCGTGGAGACCTAACAATTTAAACCGACATTAAGTTTACCGTCTGAATCTTTGGAACTCTTTTAACCAAAAAAATCCAACCGAATTAAAAGTCAATAGTTACATTAGGGAGTAATCATTTATGAGCAAGTTGAAATCCAACGTTTCGTAACCTACTAAAAGTAAGACACTATTTGCTGTATATAGGTCGTTCGTTGCTTAGTATGTGTCGTCATAATCCTTATAAATTATGATGATTTACTTTTTGTAAAGTGGTGACGAGAGATCATAGTGTCTGCTAAATCATTAGTTTAAAGATTACATTCGAGTTGCTTTGTTAATTACAACTTGCATGCAAACTATTGTAAACTAAACTACAAATCCTAAATCTTAAAATTAAACCCAACCTCCATTATATTTAATAAATTAGGCTCTTACACGAATAAAAGTAATCAGTCACGTAATAGTTAAATGGAATATCAAATCTTTCAAATGTATCAAAGCAATTGACACATTGCTATTTCTTAATTTGCATCCTTTTTTTTTGTTATTGGATACAAATGCTAATAAATTAATCAACATTTTATAGTCATATATATTTGTACGTGTTCTTCGTAATCTCTCGATCGACTAGTGATTTAGCTATCGCCGTATACGATGGATATATATACAGAGAACAACACTGCGTTAATTATGTTGATAAAACCAACGAAGCTCGGAATGCGTGATAAATCTTGCATAAAAATTCGAAATTAACGACTATTCAAAAGAGATCCAAACAAAGAATTATACAGTTCGTTATAAATGATTTTTTATTGGGGGCATGGGAGGCCTAATCAACCTTTTATAACGATCATCTAAACAAATGTTTAATTACAAGCTTTAATTAATTGTACGGAACCGGAAAAAGCCGTAGAAGAAGGAATCGTTTGATAGCGCATGCGGTACATGTATATGCGTATATATAATGCTGACTCTAAGAATGATTAAGGGACGCAAAAAATTTGGAAACAGCTCAATATTATTTGTAAAGTCCTTTTTTTATACAACTGCTTCCATTACCATGCATGAGTCATTTTCTTTGCTTTATACGGCTGTATGTTTATATAAATGGGTAGTTATTTAATGTCATTTTCCTTGCTTTACACTATGTATATTATAAATAAGTAGATATTTAAAAGTGAATTCAGTATTTTAATGTGTATCTAGTTGATAAAAAGAAGTCAGCGCTTTTTTGGGTGAAGAATGAGTCAACATTCACTAGTAGATATGGTGTAATTATAACCAGAATTAGTTAGAGTTTTGGTAGTCCCGTATAAGAAATGTATACCAAAGAACTTCTAAATCTTAAGGGTTGGGAATATAATCTATGATATAAACAATATTCGAGAGTGCACATAGCAACAAAAACAAAAGTGAAACGTCTTGATCTTTTCATCTGCAGGTTTGGGCTTAAAAATTACCACAATTCCTAAGTATATTGATTTTTTTTTTGACAACTATATATAGATTGGTGTAGAAACTTACAAGCATTTGATTCTTACTATTGATGATTGATCATTTATTTAACAGTTGTAGTATTTATAAACTATGGTAAGAGAAAGCATAGTAAAAAAATCTTCGGAAATAGCAATTATTGTTTAGGTTAAAATAAACAGTGGTTAGTGCGGTCACAGGTCAGTATGAATAATACTATAAAACATGTATTACAGTTAAAGTAGTGAATAGTAATAAATAATAATGGTGGGAAACTAGTAGTTATAGTCACTGCATGTGACTAAATATACACAGTATAGGTGTTTTTCTCGAACAAATTGTATTGAATTAGTCCTTACACATACAATATTGGTGGCCTAATTTTCGTCCCAACTACCGTTAAACATGAACATTACTGAACGTTCCGAACTAATAAGAATCTTATCGTTTTTGTAGTCCTTAATCTTATAAACCATATTCTCCAAACGAATGTAAAAATCGCCTTATCTGGTTCCGTACATGATAAAGTACCCCACATTCTCTGACAAACCCATGTTCAAGCATGCATTTTCAAAAGCTTATGTAATCCATTGATATGATTTGACATAAAATCTTTCTTCTTTAAGAACCCTAATGATTTAGCTATTACATAATATTTTAGTCTCAAATTAAATTTATTGATTAGGTTTTATAAGTAAGTTTAGTCTAAAGTGTTTGTTTAATGCTTACAGTGTCATACCCCTATATTTTTTTGTAGGAGATAAATGACAAAACAAAAATTTGCACAAGAATCAATAGAAAATATCACAATACCATGAAATATTAAACAAATGGATCGGAGGAATACTTTCTCTTGCATTAAATAACTTCTCTCACAAAATGAAGATCTGTGAGGAAAACATCACAAACTTTATTTACAGATCTAAACCCATAGAATCTCTACCTCATACGGATTTATTTCTAGTTAGACGAGTCAATTAACTCGTAAAAAAACCCTAGATGGGCTTAAAAATAAAGGAAAAAAACTTAAAAAAGCGAAGAGATTTTTCTTTTCGTAAAGAAAGAAGCTTCCGCGTCTTCTTTAACCATCTCCTTCTGCTTCATCTTCAAATGATTTAACTTAAAATATCATCGGATCATGGAAGTTAGGGTTTGAAAAACGAGTTCATCACAAGGAATGGTGAGACCCATGTCGTGGTCGAATCCAAATTCTTCCTCGGCTCGTTGTAAGAGAGATTGAAACTCAGGATGAGTCAAGAAGGAGATTGGGACAATGTATCTGCTTCTGTTCTCTCCGACATAGACAGGGAAATGTCCCTTTGGTACGTCAAGTGGAAGGCAATCATCATCGTACCCTCCTCCATTCTTCTTCCCTAAGCTCGAGCATCTCTTCAGAATCTGCTTCAGCATTGCTGTTTGAGTGAGTTTTGAAGTTTTCTTTATTATAGCCATTTGCTTTTGGGTTCTTGAGAGATAAAAGCTTTTGGTTGTGTTTAGGGAGAGAGAGAGATAGAGAGAGTTATGGAGAAGGAGATGGGTGGATATTGAGGGAGTTGAGGAGTATATATTTATAAATAAAGATTTTGTAATGGGCTATTTGTCTGTACATATTTGTGTAGGTAGCGTATAGAAAGAGGGAGAGAGAGAGAGACATGAAGACATGTGCATATGTGTGGAAGGAGATGGTGGGAGCCAAAATGTTAAAGGCCAGCTGAGGATTTAATTTCATTGTTGGTCCTCTTTGTG